CGCTGTGACGGTGAGAATCTACCAGGCCGAGCCGAGCCCGTGCATGGGCCCACACGGGCTGTCCCTCCGGCCTGGGTTCGAATGTGTTGTCTTTCTCCTGATTAATAAATGCCGGTTAGTTGATTAGACTGTGGGCTCTTCAGAAAGAGGGTAAAGGTACAGATACGTCCTTGGGGTAAATTGCCTTCCTGGGAGGGAGGCACGGCAGTGACCCCTCACGCTGACGTCTGCCACACGCTCTAGTGGGGTTTCAGATTGGCCATCCGTGTCGCTGAAATGAGGGAAGTGTGTACCGCGGGCCAGGTGAGTGGTGGGGCAGCTCAGAGACAGGCACAGAGGAGACCGAGGGGAGGGCCCACCAGATCCCGAGATGGCATCTGGAGGTGAAGTGAGGAACAGAGTTATCACGGGCTAGAGCCAGAGGTTCAGGGGATTCGATCACTTAGATCCAGCACTGAATTTATGGTTTCCCCTAAGTTGTTGGGATTTTGTCTTTTATTCTGTTTAAGTCCCTTGTGCCTGTCTCCGTGCCTGGCACATGGTAGGTGTCGTAAAGCATGAGGAGTGGAACGATGAGTTGGGATGGATTACACCGCGCTGTGGGGCTGCAGTCTTGTGAGTGGTGGCATTGGATGAGGTCCTGAAGGTCCAAAATGAGAACCGTTTTAGGAGCTGGCTGGTCCCACTGGGCACATCATCAGTGGGCGGGTCGTCCGTGAGTCTGGAGTTCTGGTCATGCCATGCTGCTCTCCACACGTCTGAACACCCCAGTGTTCTTGCCCTTGGGGAGAGCAGCCTAGGCTTAAAACTTGGACAGACTCGGGTGTTCGGTGTAGCACCCATCCAGCAGGTAATAACTTGATGGGAGGGAGGGTAGGGGATCTCACTTTAAGAGTGTCATTGCTGCCCTGGCCGGTTTGGCTCAGCGGTTAGAGCATTGGCCTGTGGTCCAGAGAGACCCGGGTTCGGTTCCCACTAAGGGCATGTACCTCGGTTGCAGTTTGTCCCCGGCCCTGGTTGGGTTGTGCGGTGGCAACCGCTCGATGTGTCCCTTTCATGTCGATGTTTCTCTCCCCCTCTCCCCCCTTGCTCTCCCTCCCACTCTATCTGGACAAAAAAATGGAAAAAATGTGAGGTGAGGATGAAAAAAAAAAAAAGAGTGTCATTGCATTTCCAATTTTCTGAAAGAGCAAAACAGCTGGGAAACAATGTGTCTAAAGAGGTGGTGGGGGAAATAATTGTTTCTTTGCAAAAGGACATGCTCGAGTCACCTCCCTTTGTTTGTTTTAGGCAGCACAATAAGATTCGCAGTGTGGAGGGGGCCCAGCTGAAGGCCTACCTGTCCTTGGAGGTGCTGGACCTGAGCTGGAATAGCATCACGGAGGTGCAGAGCACCTGCTTCTTGCACGGACCGCCCATAAAGGAGCTGTAAGTGCCTCTGCTCTGCTCTCAGCACCCAGGTCTGGCCGCAGGTGGGCATTTCCTTTTCTCAGCCATGGGCCATGGCCTGGCTGAGACCGTGGGGATGGGCACAGATCCCCTTGTGCTGTCCTAAGCAGGCCCGAGGGCAGGGCGACCCAGGGCTGTGTCTTCTGTTTGTAGATAGGCAGATATCAGCTGAGGTAGGGAGAGAGTAAGGATTAGCTTAATAGACTCACTACCAAGAGGAGATTCTAGCCCTCAAATACAGGTCTATCTTGGCTACAAAGCCTGCTTTCTTTCCCAGGAAGGCAGAGGAAAGATTCAGGGTAGTTGGAGGAATGACAGTGGGTGGGACCTCTTTGCAGAGGCTTAACCTGTCATGACTTATCTTTCCAGCATCTCAAGCTATGGAAACAGGCACTTGGTGCACTTGAGAGAGCAGTCACTATTCTGGGGGCTCTTGACCTTCTAAATTTTGTTGTCGGTCTGTTTTGCTTTTACCCATTTTAATGCCCATTGGACAGTAGATGGGAGGAAAAAGTTAAAACGTATTTAACCCACTGCCTGTTGGTAGGAAAATGTTGCTTTGGGGAGGAAACTGAAAACCCAGGCTAAGGGGACATGTTCAAGTGACATGTGTGTTTCCATTCCCTACATCATTGCCATTCCTGACTAATTTTGGAGATCATTTGCAAGGTGCATGAGGGGTTATGGTGGCCCATCTGTTCAGGGAGGCCAAGGCTTGCTTGGCACCACGGTTTTCCAAGACCCACAAGGAGAGAAGTGATTCCTTTCTTAGGCTGCATCGAGGCACTGGGATTGCAAACTGGAAACGGGCCTTTGGCAAGCAGTGCAGTGTGCTCAGGCCCCGTGAGCTTTCCTCCAGAGTTGTCTCCTGCCACCTGGCACCTTCTCGCTTGGAACAAAGAAACCACCTGCTGCTCAACTGAATTGCAGTGACCTTCTCTGTCTGCAGGAGAGGAGGAGGGACTTTCTGTTTGGGCAGATACTGGCCAGTGTATCTTTATCACAGACTGTTCTTCTTTAATCTGGAGTGTTGAGAACAAACAGTCCAGCCCCCTCTGCAGAGAATTCTCATATGCTCTGTCCTGGGCTGCTGCCTAATAGAAAGATGAAAAATGCCTCATTCCCTTCCTGTCTCTTGTAGAAAATTCTCTCCATTTTTCCTCCTTTTTGCCCAAGCCACCAAAATCAGCCTTTCTTTGGGGAGTAGGAGAGGTCTTGGGTAACTTCTCAGAGTCTCCTAGGGTGGCTCCCTTCCTGTCGGCTCCCCTTGTTTGGTACTGGGCGTCCCTGTGTGCGGCACAGAACCGCTGCTCACAGTGGCCGCAGCGGCTGTGAGGGGGATGCCCTGTGTGCATGACCCTGTCGCTGGGGATCCCAGTGACTGCTGCTGGTTTCCCAGGGGTTCTCTGCAAGTCTCTTTAACTAGAGTGTTTCTTTGACTCTGAAATTATTACAGTGAATTGGTTTATGCACATTTATCACATAAGCCATACAATGAGACCCACTTCGAAATTAAAGGCTGTTTCCCCCAATTATGACATCCACTCTGACCTTGACTTGCAGTTGACTTTCTGCTTCCTAGGGCTTTTCTCACCAACCTTGAACCCTAACCCTTGGGTAATGGGTGCTGAAAAGGAATCTTGCAGGTGTCTCTGGAGGTGGGCAGCACCCAGCAGAGCTGGTGTGTGGGGATGGCTGGTGGCGGAGGTAGCTGGTTTTCAGTTACCCTCCTGGGGCCATCCACTGGCCACAGGCACAGTGTGCTCTAGGCTGAAGTGAGGCTCTGTCCTGACACCTGGGTTTCCCTGGCTCTCCCACCTGGGAGCGGAGATGGGCTTAGCAGGCTCCGGGTGACAGTCTCATTGGAAATCTGTGTCTCTGGGTGTGTTTTGGCTTATTTTCCCAAGTAGGCCGGGTCTGGGGTCTATAACAGAATGAGGAAGGCCTCCTAGTGACCTCTGTATTTTCTCTCCTGGATCATTCCAGCAACCTGGCAAGCAACCGGATTGGCACCCTGGAGTCTGGAGCATTTGATGGTCTGTCACGGTCGCTGCTAACGCTTCGCCTGAGCAAAAACAGGATCACCCAGCTTCCTGTGAAAGCATTCCGGTTACCCAGGCTGACACAGCTGTGAGTATGGGAACCCGCGTGCTGATGAGGCTCAGCGTTTCCATGAGGCCCCAGCACAGAGTGCAGGTCCCGCCTTGCTCCTCTGTGGTCAGGCCTGTGTGATGATCATGGATGGCCCATGGCAGCAGCTAATCAAAGCAAATTAGAAACCGGCCTGGTGCCTGCGGGCTGCCTCAGGTTGCTGAGGACATGTCTGCTTGGCCTTGTTGGGACTTTGCAGAATGACAGGAGGAGCCCTGCTAGTCAGCTGAACCTGGGCTGCATTGGTTGGGTTCCTTATGGATCTTAGACGTTTGTTTACTTTTCAAAGGGACCTATGGAATCTGCCGTGGACGTCAGGTGTCTAGCACTTCTTGAGCAATTTGAGAGGAAGTTGGTGTAGCTAGAGGTGATAGTAAACAAGAGATGGGCCATTGTTTTTGTCTCCTAAGGCTTATAAGTTTGTTGATTGAGTCTTATTTTTTTTAAAGAAAGGATTTTTTTGTTATCTTTTTTGATGACCAAGGCCAAGCGCTCTCTGGGAATGGCACAGGGTTTGGTGTAAAAAAAAAAAACTCTATTTCCAGAATCTGATGGAGTATTTGTTCCGTGTTTTTTTCCTGTATCCTCTTTGCAACAAAAGAATGTATCTCAGAAAACAGCCACACCTGACGTGTGGTCTGAACAGCACATGACAGTTGTTCAGGGCCAGGTGTGACCGCAAGATGGGGTGCACCAGCGCTGTGCTCCACACGCGCCCCACCCCACACAGCCCCACTTCTGCCGTCCACGCCTGGGCTCCTTTGCTGGGAGGTCTGTGTGAGGCAGGGCCATGAGGCACTGCAGAAGTATTTGGGGAAAACCAAGTGTGCTCCCCGTCCCCTCCCCCAGTGTAACTGACCGGTCCAGCCTACCCAGACTCCTGATCTTTGGGTTAACTGAGGTCTCATCACATGATCTTGGAGCCAATCCTGTGTGCTTCGTGTGTCTGGGTCCCCTCCTCCCCCGTGGGCAGCAACTCCTCTCCATCGGTGGAGATCCTCTGACCCTCAAGTGGGAAGTGAGATTACCATTTGATACTCAGAGGTTCGATTTTTCCTAGGTTGAGGCATCTGGTGTGGGTTTCTGTTGCTGAGCTGAGACAGCTCACCTCAGACGTTCAGATCCTGGGTCACACACACCCTCGTCCCTGCCGAGTCATGGCTGTCCCGGGAGGAGGTGGGCATGCTCACTTGCTCGGCAGCTCTCGCCTCCTCTTTTGTTCATTGGCCGGGCCGGTCAGTGCTGGTGCCCGCCCTGGGCTCCCACTGCAGGCCAGCTCCACGGGGCCCTCACTGGGTTTTCCCTGTTGCACCAGAACCCCAGCAAGGACTGCGTGGGAACGGTGGGAGCTGCGGTGTGGTGCCTGCTGCTCTGAACCCACCGGCCTTCTCTCTTCAGGGACCTCAACCGGAATCGGATCCAGCTGATCGAGGGCCTGACGTTCCAGGGCCTGGACAGCTTGGAAGTGCTGAGGCTTCAGCGGAACAGCCTCGGCAAGCTGACGGATGGGGCCTTCTGGGGGCTGTCCAGGATGCGTGTGCTGTGAGTGCGGGCACTTCCGGCCAGGACGGGCTGTGCGTAGCAGGCGTGTGCTCTTCAGCCCTCTGCCCAGGGTTGTTAGGACTTCCGCAGGGCCTCATGCGGAGTCTCCGGGGGCTCTGCTAGATCGGGTGTTGTCCTTGAAGGTTGGGAAAATCTCCTGGGGTCGTTTTAGTGGATTTGGTGGAGTGAATGGGCTGGTGAAGACAGAAGAGGGAGCCATTTTTCAGGGGCTGCTCCCCCACCTTTTGCAGACTGGGGAGCAGGTGCCCCTCCCACGTCCTCTCCCCTGCTCCACACCCTACAGGAAGTTCCCTCTCCCCCGTTTTGGGTTTGACAGGCTTGACGTGCAGGTGGGTCAGAGTGTCGAGTTCGTCAGGGAGACTCATGATGTGCTCACAGAACCCCTGCCACTTGTGGGGCGCACCAGCAGCTGCTCATCTTGTTTGCAGACGCTTAAACCTCGTCACTGCTGACCAGAAGTAACCTAGCTCGTGGTTGTGAACATCCCCAGATTGTGGTCGCCTGCCCTCCCCACTCCAGCCCCTCTTCCCCACGTGCTCCGAAGAGCGGTCACGGCTCCTCTCTGTGTTTCCTGTTTGTAGTTTCGGTGGTGACTTCCAGGTTAACACACTTGCACTGCCGTCTGGATTTGTCAACTTGAGATTTCTTGCTTTATGGTTAATGGTGTTACTTGTTCAAGACACCTTCCTCACTGCCTTTCAGTCTCTGCAAATGATGTCACTCCGTTCATCTTTCATTAGGTATCTCTGCAACTGAAACAAAAACACCACCTCTAGCTCCCGTCTATCAACTCTGTGCTGCCTCTCGATGGCCACGCCTTGATACTCACACAGCCCGGCCCAGCAGTGAGAGCGCCGGCCGTAGACCAGAGTCGCGGGTTTGGTTCCAGTCAAGGGCCATACCTCAGTGGCAGGTTCCGTCCCTGGCCCTGGTCAGGGTCGTGTGGGAAGCAGTCAGTTGATGTTTCTCTCTCTCTCTGTTTCCCTCCCTCACACTCTATTCAAAAATCAATGGGAAAATATACTTGGGTGAGGATTAATACATATGTATATATGCTCACACATACAGACATACTCTCACACACACACTGAGGACCGAGGCTGCCACAGTGTGGCTTTGCTGCTTCCTCTTTTTGATGTTCCCCCTGTGACCAGCTGTACCTCTATTTTTACATATTTAAGAACACTTTTACTTGATACCTTAAAAGTGTCATTTTAGACTTTGAAATCTAGGCGGTGTGTGCTGGATGGGCTGAGATGAAAGACTGCAGAAGGAAATATAGTTAGCACACACCACATGTTGTTTATGTTGAACAAAGTCATATAAATTGGGGTGATCAGTTGTCTTAGTTACAAATTTAGTGCTTACTTTTTGTGAAGCAGCAGAAAGTGAGGTGGGTAACAGCAAAATGTGGTCCCCCAAAGTCCTCGTCACGCTGAACTTGGGGCAGCAGTTGAACAAAGGCCAGAGCCACCTGTGACCAGCTGTGCACGGTCAGAAGCTGGGTTCTAAGGCCCTTACACTCAGTGGGAGCTAAAATTCTGACATGGATTTTCTTGTTTTCTTCTTATACCAGCCCTGTGAAGTTAATACTCCTGGGTATCTCCATTTTCTAGATGTTCAGGTTCATGCAGCCCACAGAGGGGCAGAATTGGGATTTAAATCCAAGGAGTCTGACCCCAGAGCTGAAGCTGTGTCTCTCGGCGCAGTGGTCCAGAACCCAGGTGTGGTTCGCCAAACCTGGGTTTGTGTTGTAGCCCCTCGTTTCTGCCAGTCTGCCAGACAAGTTACCTAGCTTCTAGATGAGGATGATAATGAAAACCACCTCCTATTCTCTTTTCTATTTCTTTCTCTGCCCTCTGCTGGCAACGGCCCATCTGTGTACCTGTGCTCAGCTAAAAGGGAAGCTTCCCTTTGCCCTCTGAACTCAGCAAGTTGGCCTGGACACTCACCACCATCTCTGTTTTGGCTTTTCTGTCTTGTCCTATCTACCTACCTACCTACACACACACACACACACACCCGCCCCCCAACGTATTATTGTTAGCTCCTCGGTGCCCACCAGTGGATCTGCAGTGTTAGAGCCTCGGCGCCCCCCACTGCTACCTGTGCAGTGGATGAATGGGTGCTGGGGGACCACCACCTTCATCCTGCGTGTGGCTGTCATTGCAGGCGCCTGGAGTACAACAACCTGGTGGAAGTGAACAGCGGCTCTCTCTATGGTCTCACAGCCCTGCACCAGCTCCACCTCAGCAACAACTCCATCTCCCGGATCAACCGCGATGGCTGGAGCTTCTGCCAGAAGCTGCATGAGCTGTGAGTGCCGCCTGCGCAGCTCTGCCGTGGAGGCACCGCTGCCTAGAGGGGACTTTCTCCAGAGCCGGGAAGCTCGAGGCCCAGCCTCTCCCGCAGCACCGTGGACAGGGCGGGGCTCGGGGCGGGAGGCCGGGGGGAGGACTCAGAGGCAGGCACCGGCCTGTTCTAGAGGGAGGAGAAGGCCCAGCCACCAGGCCCAGAGCAGGACCTGGGGACCCCGCAGACCCAGTGGTTTGAATTGGTCCCCTCGGGGTAGCTGGGCCTTCTTGGGCTTGGAGACAGCCCCTGGGCCGAGGGCACTGGCGTCGAGGGCAGTCTGCAGGAGTGCTTGCGGCTGTGTTGAGAGTTGCGCGTGGATGGCTGCAAGTCACATGGACTTCTTCAGTGAAGGCTTAGACACGGGAGGCAGTGAACCTGAGAGGGTGGCGTGCCGATGGGAGGTTTACATGCCCTGCCGTCTCTGCCTTCCTGCCTGTGGACAGGTTGTCCACACTGGCTCCTCCCCCGTCCCAGCAGCGTCCCCTGGCCTGGTGAAAGCACTCCCGTGCTGTCATGGCTGTGGTTATACTTTATGTGGATAGACGGCCCTCATCCCTTTGGGAGACTCCCAGACAGGGCCCCCGGCTGGGACTGGGAGCTCCTAAGCTGGTGTCCGAGGTTCCCGAGCCCAGCAGTGACAGACTCTGTCTGGGCAGGTGGCTATCACGTCAAGGCTGGTGATGAGAGTGCACTCCAGGGGCTTGGTGGACATACCTCTGTTTCTGACCCACATCTAAAAGATTGGTTGTTTTGGAGGAAAAAAGTGGATTCTCATTGTGTTTGTTATTTCAGTTTAATGTGTTGAAGGTTTCTCAGTTCTAGTTTAGTCTAGCACATTCCTTTACTTTTTAAAGAAGGCTGGCTGCAGGAGAAGACTCCCCACTGAAGCGGGCAGGTTCTAGGCGCCTGGCCCGTCTGGTCTCGTGCCCTCAGCAGGCAAACTTGCGGAGCGGACGGCTGCGCTTGCAGCGGGTGTTTCCCCCACTTCCGCGTCTCTCCCACCCGCCCCACACCGGCCCCGACCTGGCGTTTATATTTCGGTGAATCCATTGTTCCTAAAGCAGACACCAGTAGTCCTGCCTCTGCCTGCTCCTTTCACTCTCGCCGGCTTCTCTGAGAACGTGAGCGCTGACCTCGGGCGCAGCGTCCGGCCCCTCGCAGCAGTGCGGCCGCAGACTGCTCACGCGGTATTGGGTGGCTCCTGCCAGGCTCTTTGCTCGGCTGGGACCCCACTTGGGAACCCCCAGGACCAGCGGTCTTCTGTCCTCCAGGCCTGGGAGCCAGGGAAGCAGGAGGGGTTCTTCTGAGTCCCTCAGACCTGAGCCAGTCCCACTGTCAAGGTGAGGGCAGCCCTCGGAACTGCTGGCGGGTGGGCCTGGGAGGAGGCAGCATCGGGGATAGGCCCGGTGGGCCTGGGGAGGAGGCAGCGGCGGGAGAGGCCGGGTGGGCCTGGGGGGGTGGCAGCGGCGGGAGAGGCCGGGTGGGCCTGGGGGGGAGGCAGCATCAGGGAGAGGCCGGGTGGGCCTGGGGGGGAGGCAGCATCAGGGAGAGGCCGGGTGGGCCTGGGGGGGAGGCAGCATCAGGGAGAGGCCGGGTGGGCCTGGGGGGGAGGCAGCATCAGGGAGAGGCCGGGTGGGCCTGGGGGGGAGGCAGTGGCGGGAGAGGCCGGGTGGGCCTGGGGAGGAGGCAGCATCGGGGAGAGGCCGGGTGGGCCTGGGAGGAGGCAGCATCGGGGAGAGGCCGGGTGGGCCTGGGAGGAGGCAGCGGCGGGAGAGGCCGGGTGGGCCTGGGGAGGAGGCAGCGGCGGGAGAGGCCGGGTGGGCCTGGGGAGGAGGCAGCGGCGGGAGAGGCCGGGTGGGCCTGGGGAGGAGGCAGCGGCGGGAGAGGCCGGGTGGGCCTGGGGAGGAGGCAGCGGCAGGGAGAGGCCGGGTGGGCCTGGGGAGGAGGCAGCGGCGGGAGAGGCCTGGTGGGCCTGGGGAGGAGGCAGCGGCGGGAGAGGCCGGGTGGGCCTGGGGAGGAGGCAGCGGCGGGAGAGGCCGGGTGGGCCTGGGGAGGAGGCAGCGGCGGGAGAGGCCAGCAGGCACCCTGAGGAAGGGGCAGAGTGGCCGCGGGGGTGGCTCGTCAGCCGAGCATCTTCCCGACAGCCAGGCCACCTTGGAGCCAGGTGCAGGGCTGGTTTCCGCCTGTGCCCGCCCCTTCTTTAAGCTGAATTCTTAATTGTAGGTGAGGATGTAGTTTTGATCTCCTGCCAGGTCTTCGCGACTGACAGACACCATGACTTATTTCTCCAGGAGGAAAAGAATGTTACCCCTGCTGCCTTTAAAAACTCATTAATCTTCTCTGGATTCATTTTGCATATTCCTGCCCCAGACCAAATCTTCCATTTTTCCATAGATGACTTAACATGCCAAGTAACCAACCCAGGCAGGGCCATGTGAGGGCAGGTGGTGGACTAGGAGGAAGGGTTGATTCTGACACTCAGGGAAGGGGTCCTGCTTAAAGTGGGGATCATCCCAGAAGTTCTGACAGGAGGCTGGTACAGAGGGTGGTGCCCAGGTAGGCGGGAGTTCTGTGAGGAAGGCTTGTTCCAGGTGGTGGATGGTGGTGCCCTCTGCTGGCCGATGTCGGGAGCCTAACTGGGCCACCCTGCTCCCTCTCAGCACATTCTGGGGTCCTGTCCAGAGTCTCAGGCCCCTGCTGTGAAGTCTTTCCTAGTCTGGGTCAGGACCCGCCACAGGCACCAGCGTGAGGGCTTGGAGCCTTGCGGGTTCTTGAGTTGCATGTCCTTGATGTCATCCTCACAGTTGGTCACATGTCCAGGTCTCCGTGACCTCCGTGAACATTCCAGGAGTCACTGTGGCTCTCTGGCTGTCTGACCACTCTCGCCCTTGGGAGTCTGTGTGCGTGTCCCTATCCTCTGAGACCCGGCCGGCTGTGGCTTGATGTCAGCAGAGAAGGGCCCCTGGGCCACCGGACAGTGATACTGTCTCTCCTCCCTTCCGCAGGGTTCTGTCCTTCAACAACCTCACGCGGCTGGACGAGGAGAGCTTGGCCGACCTCAGTAGCTTGACCATCCTGCGCCTCAGCCACAACTCCATCAGCCACATCTCGGAAGGCGCCTTCAAGGGACTCAGAAACCTGCGTGTCTTGTACGTGTCTCACTGTGGGGTTGATGGCATGAAGGGGTTCCCGCTGGGAGGCAGGCGAGGCCAGCCAGCTGCCTTGCTGAACTCCCTTTTCACTGGCTGCCAGGCAGACTCGGACCCGAGATGGACCCATTGCCTGTGCAGTCTCTCACTTTTATGTAATCGACTGAAAAGAACTGGTTGAGCAGGAAAACGACCCTCCCTCCCCGGGGTGCCTGTCGGAAGCACGGTGGTCAACCAGCACTAAGTCCCGCCGTGCTGGGTGCTGGGTGCTGGGCCCCGTGCTCGGGAGGAGCTCCCCAGCCCAGCGTCTGGACCCTGAGTCCTCCCTCTGCCACTTCCATCTCGAGTCCCGAGTGCTTTCTGTCCCGGCCGGGCGTGCTGAGGCTCAGACCTGTGTCCAGGAAGCCCCATTTCTAAGAGAGGGAATTAGGGAAGCCTTAGTTTTTCCTGGAGCCTCAGGAAGTGAAATGTCACTTTCCTCTAAGCTCCTAATTAAGTGAGTTGCCAGAAGTTGCCAGGATGCTTTTCTGGAACTTAAACGTTCTCAGTTGTTGGCTTCAGAAAGCTTTCGGCAACTGTCCGCATCAGGTCCTCAAAGGGGGGTGTGGTTCAGCAGTGATGGGGGTCAGAGGCTTCCCCCAGCTCTCCCCACTGCGGGGAGAGGCCGGCTCCCGTGTCAGGCACCTGGCAGAGCAGGGTGGGCCTCAGTGCTGAGCCCCTGTGGGGCGGAGGGGGTGAAGGAGCCCGGACGCCAGGCCGTTCACGCTGAGGTCAGCCCTCAGCCCTCGCAGGGCCGACAAGGCTGGGAACCTTCAGACTGAGCGGCCGGAAAAAGAGCAGAGCTGTGCAGCCAGGGATGGGAGCAGGGGGACAGGCACCCAGAGCGGCAGCCCCCGGGGGCTCCTGTGCGTGTAGACAGCAGGGAGGGGACCCTGGAGGAAGCCCTGCCAGCGCAGGCTCAGCTCCTGGAGCTTCCTGCTGGGAAAAGGAGGCCACAGCCAGCGCCGCGCTGTGCTCAGCTCCTTCCCTGCCGGCACTGGCGACCCTTCCGGAGGCTCCCAGGAGCCACGTGCAGCGTCCTCTCCTCCTGGCCCCCGTCGGCAAGAGCTGGGAAGAGGGGGTGTTGTTGCTGACAACCGTGTGGAGAGTCAGGGGCCGACCGCGTGGTGGATGGGCGCTGGTCACCGGGTGGGACATCTTGCCTGGCACCCTGACCTGCCTGTAGAAGCTGGAGGAGGAAGATGAGTCACCGGCCTTGTGATTTGCGTTGTTGGAGAAGCCTGGGCTACGCTGGCCTCATCCTCTCATCCTGGCAAATGGGTCACAAGTCTGACTCAGCACCCAGATGTCGTCTCTGGCACAGAGTCAGGGCCTGTGCAGGGCCTGTGAAAACATGGGAGTTCCGGGCTCAAAACCCACTCTCGGCAGCATGGAGGAGGCCCCGGGGGCCGTGCCCGGGCCGCGCTCTTCAGTGTCCCTTTCCTCCCGGTGCCTTTGCAGTTTCTCGGCCAGGTCTACAAGGGGCTCTGGCTGGCCTGGCTGGTGTGGCTCAGTGGGCTGGAACATCGTCCCATCACTGACAGGTTGTGGGTCTGATTCCTGGTCAGGGCACATACCTAGGTTGCGGGCTCGATCCCTGGTTGGGGCATGCCTTCCTGAGGGAACCAATTGATACTCTCTCGCTTTCTCTCCCTTCACCTCTCTGAAAGTCAGCAAGCATGTCCTCGAGTGAAGATTAAAAAGAGAAAAAAGAAAAGGGGGCCTGGTGGGTGCGAGAGCAGATGGGAGCCTTCCTACGCCTTTCGGGCTGATTCTCAGCGCAGTGGCCAGACGTCTGCTCTCCGGGTGGAGCTCACGCCAGGCCTTCCCCGTGTGCTGTCCGCACACCCTCCTTTCCCGGCCGGGCCTCCTCACAGCGTCAGATCCGTGGGAAGGCTGAGAAAGCCAGCCGCACCGTAGGGGTGCAGACAGGGGGTCCCCTCGGCTCCGCGGTCACGCTTCTCTGCACCGTGTGTCACTGCTGGGCACCTAGAGTACACTCCACATCCAGCTTCATGGTGCAGTTTGGGTATCAGTCTGTCCCCCCACTTCGTGTTGAAGAATGAATTGAGAACTCGATGGTGAGCTCTCTCTCTCCCCGCAGGGATCTGGACCATAACGAGATTTCAGGCACAATAGAAGACACCAGTGGCGCTTTTATGGGCCTCGACAGCCTCAGCAAGCTGTGAGTACCTCGAGTTTGGAGGCCGGGGGCCTGCGCGGGAGGGTGGTTCTCGGCTCCCTGATTCCTCCTTTGTTCTGGGCCCACCAGAGGAGAGCCGGCTGGCATTTATCTTTGGTTTGGGAAGAAAAAGCTGAATAAGAGAGCAGAAGACACACTGCCAGCTTCTCTCCGGCCAGTGTCTCATCACTGCCCTGGGTATTGACTTCTTTGGGGCTAAAGACCTGGTGTGCAGAGTCCTGCGGGGCTTCTCTCCTGCTTGATTCATGACGTGTGAAAACAGCCAGATTTTTTGTTGTTCTTTGCACAAAGGAGTCTTGCCCTCTTGCTCAGTTCCTAGAAATTGTGTGAAATGTCTAACGCTGAGTGAGTACCTCTTGAAGGTTTTGAGTCTTCAATTAGTACTTTTGTCGTCGATCATAATTTTAAACAGAAACAGTCATTTACAAAGGGTAACATAGTAGCTATTGTCCATTCAAGGTGTTTGGTGTTTTTGTTTTTGTTTTTTGCATTTATCTTCAAATAGAGCGGGAGGGATAGAGGGAGGAAGAGAGAAAGAAACATCATCATGAAAGAGACACATCGAGTGGCTGCCACCCACACGACCCCAACCAGGGCCGGGGACAAACTGCAACCGAGGTACATGCCCTTAGTGGGAACTGAACCCAGGACTCTCTGGTCCACAGGCCGATGCTCTACCCGCTGAGCCAGACCGGCCAGGGCTGGTGTTTGTTTTTGTTCTAAGTTCCTAGAATTGCAGTTGGTCTTGAGGCACGTGTGAGTTAGAGCTAGCAGTCTCGTGAGGGTAGGCTGTTACGCTACGTTTTTGTAGTTGAGGAAACAGAACTGAAGGGATTGTTCCCAAGACCACACAGGTGGTAGGTGGCAGGGTCAGGATTTGCCTCTGGCCACAGATCCCTGCTGCATGGCCCTTGCCGGCCTTTATCCGCGCTCACCAGCACTTTTGAGGAGCCCAGCACCAAGCAGGAGTGGGGTGGGCGGAGCAGCTGCCACTGCTCCCTGGTCTCTGGGAGGGAAGGTCGGAGGAGGACAGACCAGGGGAGGCACCGTCGCTCCTGGTCCCAGGCCTGCCCCTGACGGCAGCCCTGGCGCAGTGCAGAGTAAACATTTGGAAGCAGCAGTGTGGGGGCTTAGGAAGCCGGGGGAGTGGGGTTGCAATGAGTGTTTCTGATCTGTTTTGAAAAGCGGGGTTTTCATACTTTTGTATGGAGTTCTGAGGAAGAAGAGCTGTATGGGCTCTGAGAATTGTCTCTGCTTGGGCGTCCCGTGTTCTGACAGCTTGTCCAAAATGCCTGTCAGACTCTTCCCTAAAAGCTTCCTCCTGCCCACCCCCTGGCCTCTTTGCCCAAGACAGCACGATGGGCGGCAGAGGACCCAGGGTGGGACTTGGCCCCGGGACGGCCGCTCAGCACAGGCCTCCCCGTGTGCCGTCTCAGGTGAGGTGGGCAGTGGTGGGGCCATCCCGTCCTTCGCAGGGCATGTCCCTCTGGACCCTGGAGCCGTTCCTGGGTGTCGTGGTCCCAGAGGCTTTTCCAACCCAAGCGAGATGTGGCTGGGGCTTCTGGCTCTGTGTACCTTCCTAGTTACTGGCTGTCCCTTCCCTGTGCTGTCCCCCTTCCTCCTGCTGGACTGGGGCCCACCGTGCTCTCTAAAGTCCCAGGAAGTGAGCACGAGCCCGTGCTCCTCCTTGCGCTGTGCTTCTGACCAGGGGTCCCCAAAGCAATGGGTTCTACACTGACCAGCTGCTGAGACTCCAGAGAATGTATTAAAACCAACCCCACTGATAGGATGTTGGTGCTGGGGGCTTTGTACCTGCTTCAGAAACACCAGAGAGAGGTACATAATTGGGAAATAATAGAAACGTCTCCATGTGACTGAGTGTGTGCAGTCAGTCACTTAGCGGGGATGGTGTCAAGGTCAAGTTGCAAAACAAAGCAGAACCCTCCTCTTCCTGGGTTTAAAAACAGTGGTGTGGGGCCTCCGACTCGGATTCCTGTGGGCTGGTGGGGTGGAGACGGGGGCAGGCAGCGTGGGGACGGGACGAGACTGGCGCGGTGGGGTGGCTGCGGCTGTGACGGGCACACGGGTCCGTGCTGTCTGCCTGTGGGGGTGCGGGAACCGGCCGAGGAAGCACATGCTCTCCTGTCGTCCTGTGCTCGGCTCTGGTTAGAACTGCTCTGCGAGGCACGTGGAGGGCCGGGCATGGACACTGGGGGCTTCATTCTCCTCACCGGGGCGGGGCGTGGACACTGGGGGCTTCATCCTCCTCACCGGGGGCCGGGCGTGGACACTGGGGGCTTCATCCTCCTCACCGGGGGCCGGGCGGGGACACTGGGGGCTTCATTCTCCTCACCGGGGCGGGGCGTGGACACTGGGGGCTTCATCCTCTTCACTGGGGGCCGGGCGTGGACACTGGGGGCTTCGTTCTCCTCACCGGGGCGGGGCGTGGACACTGGGGGCTTCATCCTCTTCACTGGGGGCCGGGCGTGGACACTGGGGGCTTCGTCCTCCTCACCGGGGGCCGGGCGTGGACACTGGGGGCTTCATTCTCCTCACTGGCTCCTCAGAGCACTGCCCGGAGCACTGGCTGGAGACGGGGCTGCATGCCCCCTCTGAGCGGCTGGGCAGTCTGTGGGGTCCACTAGAAGTGGGGAGGTGTTGGTGCAGAGAAGGGCTCTGCCCGGTGTGGGCTGCAGTCAGTGCCGAGTCCTCTGGGCCTGGTGTGGGCTCCCCTTGGACGCCTGGGGGACGGTGCTCAGGGTCTCCCTGAGAACGGGAAGGGAGAAGTCGCCTGGCCGTCACTCAGTTGCCGAGGACTGGGGTCCTCCTACCCTGCTGGAGGCCGGACCCAAGCTACGTTTTCCGGGAAAGGAGCAGTGAGCAGCAGCCCTCAGAGCTCCGTGGTGAGGGCCAGGCCCTTCTGGGTCGTCCGTGAACCTGAGTTCCTCTCCCTCACTGGCCTGTGACCTTTATACTTTGCAAATGTCTATGGAACCCCCCGGGGCCCTCAGTGTCCTGGGACACGAGGAGGGAAGGGTGGGTTTCTGCGCCCAGACACGGGCATAGTGGAGCCTTTGGTCACCTGTGTAGGGCGGGTGATGCAGGTGCCTGCCCGTGGGCTCCTCTCTCCACAAAACTGTTCGGGAAGGACACGGGTGGCAGGTGTGAGGGGGAGTTTGGGGGACAACACGCAGCATTGGATTATGGGCCAAGCCTCTTGATTCCTGCAGGTGCCGTTCCCCTGTTGGGGTGGAGGGAGATTGTCCCCCCAGTCTAAACATTGTGGCAAGTGTGGGGAGCGGCACCCCTGAGCATATCCCCAGGGTCTGCAGGTCTGCTTTAGTAGGAGCCCAAAGCCTGGGGAGCCCTCGGCCAGGCTGGCTGGAGATGCATGAGAGGGCCTGGTGGGTGACCCTCCGCTCTGAGTCAGCGGTGCTGGGAGCCTCGGGTCAGGCGGAGTCAAGTCTGGTGGCCCTCGACCAGTGGGCAGCGTGAGCATCTCCTGGCGGGAGCCCAGCTCACCCTTCACACTGCAGCCCGTGGTCGGGGTGTCACCTGCTGCTCGCTGAGCCCAGCCCCCCCACACACACACACACATCTGCTGGGAGAACGTAGGACCTGTTTTCACTCACCAGCAGGGTGATTAGCCCCTGCATAATTGAGAATTTGTTGTATTGCTCTTGTCACGAGTAGAAATAACAGCCTGCCGTTATTGTGAAAGAGGTGAGTGTGACTGATATTTAATGGGTGAAATAAAGCACAGCTTTTTCCTGGATCTAGTTTACGGGAGATTTCACTACAGTTGAGAACATTACTAGGACCCGGAGCACACAGTGTCTCAGCCTGGGAGCTGAGGAACGCGAGGCGGGAGGCGCCCGCATGCTGCGCTGCCCCGTTGGGGGAGTGGTGTGGCCACTGGGGCCTGCGCGCTTGGTCTGTCCGTCTGCCATGGACGCTTCGATGGAGGGTTGTGGAAACTCTCAGGATGAGCTTCTTTTCCCCTCCGTGCAGACTGCCTCCAAGAGAAAGGGAGGCAAAGGGGTCTTTGGCCTTTGGGCCCCCCTCACCCCACAGGCAGGAGGTGCTGCCTCTGTCTGAACTCACAGTCACGGTGGGGCTACTGCTGACCAAGTGGGGGCATTGGGAAGCCCCTCGGAAGTGACCACGTGGGCTCGAGGTGCCTGGGGAGCAGGCTCCTGGCCCCGCCTGGCTCAGTCCGCATCTGACCCTGTGTTCCTGAAGACAGCGTCCTGGTGTCTGCAGTCGGGCTGAAGCTGGGCCGTCGGGCTGTCTGCCATCTCTGGTTTCCTCAAGGTTGTTCTTTCTCCTTTTGGTCTTCGGGGCAGGTCTGGTGCTTGCTGTTTCTTCTCGTGCGTCCCAGTCTTGACGTGTGTCTGAAGGTGGAGCTGGCCTTTGGTTGAGATCTTTCTCCTGCTTCTCAGTGGGTCCTGGATGGGGCCCCCGCCCCCAGCATGAGGGGCTGAACCAGACTGGCTTTCTCCACAGGCTCCCTGCCCTCAGCACCTGCCCCTGGCCAGGAGCCCTGATCCCAGATGGCGGTTCTGGGTTTCCCGGGAGTCGGCCCCCAGCAGTCCACGTTCTTAACCAGCCCTGGGGACGGTCCTGGTGTGCGTCAGGTGGCTGACAGCGCCTTCGGCATCCCTGGCAGTGTCCTGTGCTGACAGGAGGTGGAGGGAACACCTTGGTGAGCTCTCACCAGGGTGCTGGGCAATGAGGAGGGAGACACGAAACCTCGACTCTTCATTCCCCGTGTCCCGGACGTTCCGGGGCTGCCCTGCCCCCGCCGGACACACTGTTCCCTTTGCTCTGCAGCCTTTCTCCCTTGTGGGACGGAGGGGTGGGCGCTGTGTCAGAGGGTGGTCCCCGACAAGCTCAGCAGTCACTGCCCAGGTGAGGCTGGCTGGCATTGCCTGGAAGCAGAGCCCCTTCCAGTGGGTGGGCGGTCCCGGGTCCAGGCACTAGATGACCTCGGAGGCTGACCTTTGAGAAGGTGTCTGTCTGAGACTTAGTGAGTCACTGACAATGACTGACAATTGCTAAGGAGGCCCAAGCGCTGGGGCCTGCAGGCCCTAAGGGCTTCCTGTAGGCAGGGTCACTGTGGTGACGCCTCAGGTGCCAACAGCGAGGAGCCATCTCGGTGACCCCGTTTTCCTGCACTCTCCTGCCTCCTTCGGGACCCTTTATCCCAGAACGTGGTTTTCAGGAGTGGGCGGTAGTTTGGGTTCTGGGGTTTTCATTTCCTTCTCTGACTCTGCTTCTTCTCATCAACACAGTGATCAGTCTCTTCTCTCCCCCGAGGTCATGGCTAAACTTCAGCCCCACCCTTGGGTGGTCCTTGCAGAGAGACAGCGTGGGCTGGACCAGGTGCTTTCCACTGAACATCGCAAGGGGCCTTTTTAGGCAAGGCAGTGCGTGCAGATCCAGCCTGTCGTCGCTGTCAGATGTAACAGATGAGAGTATTTCGTTTCAGAGAGGAGCAGGCCTGTGTTCTTCAGACCTGGTCAGATTCCGCCTGCCTCTCACTGAACAATCATCAGCTAGCAGGACCTTAACCATGTGTTCTCTTTCTCCTGACCCTCCCTTGTCTGCCCCCCCCCCCCCCATGTTGGACGTTTGGGGACTGCAGAACTCTGTTTGGAAACAAGATCAAGTCCGTGGCTAAGAGAGCATTCTCGGGGCTGGAAGGCCTGGAGCACCTGTGAGTATCTTGCCAGACCTCCCCTGACCCCCGGCTGCCACATTTGGCTGCCGGACATTTTAATCCCATCTTGTAAACCGAGAAACAGCCATTTGGAAACGCCAGCTGCTTCCTTCTCATTAAGTCAGCTTCGACTTTGGCCTGTGTCAGGGACGGTCACACTACCTATGGCCAGTCAGTGAGCTCCCAGCTAAAGCGGCTGACGTTTAGATAAGTCCCCTCCTCTGCCTGCCCTGCCTCACACCTGCACCCGTCCCCCACAGGCCTCTGGTCCCCTTCCCACTTCCCGGGGGGCGCTTGTCCTGGCCCAGCCTGGCACCCCGCCAGAGCAGCTGGGCATGCTGGGTACTTGCTGCCCTGCGACTTGCTCCTGGGGTGGCTGCTCCCAGGCGGTGACTCCAGTACTGGACTCTTGGATGATTTGCCCTCGAGCCCAGCCTGACCACTGCTGGGGAGGCTTGGTGTCGCCCTGTGGCGCAGACAGCCTGGCTTTGAGGCTGGCTGCCCCTGCGTCGGCAGCGCGCGGAGCGATGGCCACTGCCAGCAGAGTCGGGGCCGGACACGGGTCCGGCTGGGACCATGGCCCCCGCAAAGCAAGGCTGTCCTGAGCACTTCCGGGGCCCCTTGCTCCAGCGTGAGGCTGACCTGACGGCCCCAGCGTTCTCCGCATAAGGGAAGGGTGTTCTTTTGCAGGAACCTTGGAGACAATGCTATCAGGTCTGTCCAGTTTGATGCCTTTGTGAAGATGAAGAATCTCAAAGAGCTGTAAGTACCTGGGACTCCGAGCCTGGGTAACAGGAGAGGGCTCAGGGTGGGGAGCACCTTACTTGGATCGCACCTCATCTTGTTAAATAGTTGTGAGCACTTCTCCTTGTGTGTGAGTTCAGTTGTCTTTTTAAAAATTCCCTGTGGAGGCCTATTCTGGATCAGGGGTAAGCACACTTTTTCTTAAAGGGCCACAATCTAAATATTTTCAACTGTGTGTGCTGTAGGGGCCTCTGTGTTGACAACTGTACTCTTGTTGCAGCAGGAAGCAGCCGTAAGTACCACCGCAGGGAGCGGCTGAGCCCTCCGCCCTCGGGAGGCGGGGGCCCCAGGCTGCGTCGACTGGCCGTGGCTCCACGCGCTGTGGCAGCTCTCAGCCTGCTCGGTCGTCCCTGTGACTGTCAGGGACCAGTTTTCATCGTTTGCCTAAAGTGAAGGGCCCGTGTTGAGGGGCTCTGAGGAACCTGGGCTGTGAGCAGGGCACAGGACAGCGAGGTGGCACTGCCGCCACTGTAGACGGTCATCGAGGCCCTCGGGTGGCGGCTTGGCAGAGCTGACCCGTGTCCTGGCCGTGGAGAGGAGCTAGGGTGCCTCCGGGGGCCTTGCCCAGCCCCTTTCTTCCTCACCCAAGTCTGCCGGTCCCAGCCGTAGCGTCAGCTCCCCAAAGTGGGGCCTTGGTTCCTACAGGTGCCAGCAAAGCGACGATACCGGGGGATGGCCACCTCTGCACCCTGACCTCTTCCCTGAGGCACTGCTGGTGGGCCCTGGATCGTGGGGTGGGGGTGGGAGTAGGGAATAGGGAGGTGCCGTCCCTGTACTGGAAACTAGAGCCGGACGCAGGCCCCGGTGACCTTCCTGCTGGGTGCGCCTTGACCTTGCCGTGAGGGTCCAGTCTGTCGAGGGGACGCCCTTTTCGGTGGGTGTGCTCTTAGAGCGGGAGTCCTAGAAGGACAGGTACTGGGGTCGATGTGCTACGAAGTATATACACCGAAGCATTTATTGTAAAACCTCAGTGGTGAGTACCTGAGTGTTTACGCTGCATTTCTGTCAATGTTTCTGTTCTTGAAACTCTTCAAATACAGTGTCAAATGGTAAGAGAATGTTTGGAGAGAGAGAGGGAAGGTCAGGGAGACAAGATTTTCCTTTTGGCCTCTTAAAAAATTCAGTTTCCTGAGACCGTTTTCTAGTTGGGATTAACTGGACCCTTCCAGGTGCTTGGCCCCCCCCCCCCCCCCATGCATCTGCAGGGCTCAGCCTTGGCCCTCTGCCTGGGTTTCCCCTCAGTCACTGCCTGTACCCAGCTGCGGCTGGCTCTGGGCCCAGTCTTCTGAGGGGAGAAATGGTTAATTCCACTTGGTCATTTTCTTCCCCTGTCGGATCAAGGCAGGTTGTACTGTGCGCTTAGTCATCCTCTGGGTAAATTTCCACCAGCAGTGGTTAGAAACACACACTGTGAGCTGGACTCGTGACAGGCACGGTGGAAGCCAGCGTTGCTGGGTGGCTGGTGGCAGCAGCCACGGAAGCTGGCGGCACGTGCGGCTGTGTCGTGTGGGCAGTGGCCGACTGCAGCCCTTGGGCCCGCAGACAGTGTCCTTGTCCAGGCTCTTGACCCAGCCTTTGTCCTTACAGCGACGTGTGTGTGTGGACAGGCCAAGGGTCAGCATCCTCACTGTCTGGCTCCCTTTCCTCTCTGTCTGTCCTGTCGGTCCCAGCTCATCCTTTAGGAAGCTTTCTGTCCGCCCTGAGTGGCCGCTGAGGTCTGGACTCCTGTTTGAGGGGAGCTCCATTGTGGAGGAAGCAGGAGTCCCGGGACTCAGGCCACGTGCACTGGGTGTGTGAGGCTGACCCTCTCCACACCCGTTTCTGATCGAGGACAAACGTCTGTTTGTTCTTGTGGCTCAAATGAAACCTGTCCCTGCTGCCCCCTCCCGTGCTGAATGCCTCACAAGTGAAGGCCCAGTATCTTCCTAGACGGTCATGCTCAGTGGTCCCAGTGGTCCCCAGGCTTCCCTGCTGCCTGCACAGGGAGGGCGCCGGCGAGCGTCTGTTCTGACGGGGGCGGGCTCCTGCCTGCTCTGCACCGGGTGACGAGGAGGCCAGGGCAGCTTCCCCTCCACACAGCAGCTCCCGGGGGCTGAGCAGGCTTCAGCGTGTCCTCCGGTGACTGCAGCAGGACAGCCCCCAGGTCTGCAGGCACACAGCTAGCTGCCCACTAAGTTCAGATACAGAGTCTAATTTTAAGGTCTAACATAGGCATACATCCCACTTATAATGGCTTTGAGAGCAACTTACTCAGTCTTTAACAAAGTACTTCCCATATAAGTTGAACGAGTCGGGGTGACTGGCTAATTGGAATGACGGGGGACGGCAGAAGAGAGGCGCTGAGTTCAGTCAGACTGTTTGTCTCCCTAGCTGCCGGCCAGGCCCTCCCGTCGGAAGGCCGTGTGGGTAGAGACCACAGCCGTCCTTCCGGCTGCTCGTGTGACATCAGGGAAATGGTGGGTGGAGGAGAGGCTGCTGCCATAGTGTTGGCCCAGGTGACGTTTAGGAATTTCTGGGCACACTGTCCTGGTTTTGTCAGAGGGACGCCATCCATCTCCCTTCCCGGCCCCTGGCCTTGCTGTGAGCTGCCCCGTCCTCCGGCACGTGGCCTCAAGGTCTCCCAGGAGCATGGCCGTGGGACTCTGGTGGCTTCTCCTCGAGTGACTCCTCGGGAAGGAATGTCCACGGAGATGGGGATTCCGATTACTGTTTGAAAAGCTGATCCTCGGTTGCTGAGAAATGAAAAAGAAAATATCTTCTGTTTTGGTTGGAGCCTCACAAGACCGAGCTGTGCGTTCTCATGCCCTGGGCAGTGGCCGTGGTCGGCCAGCACTGCGGGTGGGGCGGCTCCGGCGTGCAGACCCGGGCCCTGGCCAGATGACAGGTAACAGTCTCATGGACGCGGAGCCCCCGGACTTTGTCAGGAGGCTGCTGCTCTGTCACCAGGAGAGGTGCGCCGCGTCCGGTCACCGCAGAGCACGTCTGGGTTAGAGTGCGTCAGCTCAGACTGTGCTCCTCAGGGTGCCCTCAGGCCGGAGTGTCAGGCTGCCCTGGGGCTGGCCACCTGGCCTGCTGAGCCAGGAGCTGCATTGGCTCAGAGCCTCCAGGCAGATTGTCTTTGGAGAGGAACTGGGAGAAGGACTCGTGCCCGTTCCGCCTGCTGGCGTGGGGGCGGAGGACGGCTGTGTCCGAGAGCGCTTCTTCTCAGTCACACCTCTGCCCCTTCTTTCTCTTGCAGCCACATCAGCAGCGAGAGCTTCCTGTGTGACTGCCAGCTCAAGTGGCTGCCCCCGTGGCTGCTGGGCAGGACGCTGCAGGCCTTCGTGGCCGCCACCTGTGCCCACCCGGAGGCCCTGAAGGGTCAGAGCATTTTCTCTGTGCCGCCGGAGAGCTTCGTGTGTGGTAAGACGGTCTTTGCGATTGCTTTCCATGAAGGGCAAGGAGCCAGGAGGGGCTCTTCCTTGTGGGGTGATTCCTGTGCTCAGAGGTAACCCCAGAGCGGTCACCAGTCAGCTGCCGGGTGAATCTGTTTCCCACGGAAACCACAGTGTTTACTGTGCAGTCTCCTCTTGCGTGGTTCTTGGAGTCCATACGTTGAATCAGAAGGGAGCATGGGTTGGTTCAGTTACAAACCAGAGTAATCAGTTACAGAAAGATAGTTTATATTATTTTAAGTGCCCCAGTTTAGCTGTGAATTTGCTCAGTGTATGAGGCTGGGGTTTTAATGTGTTTCTTTCCAACCCCAAGAATGAGAAGTTAAATACAGGAAGAATAGTCTCAGGAGAACAGTTGCTGTAGTAAAAATAATTCCTCAGTGTTGACTTGCCCTCTTGCTGTTCCTCAAACCACTGAAATCTGTACTTGTAGCTTGAAGTTCTTTTTTCTTCTGATTGTTGGAACATAGATCTTGCCATCTTTTGCCCAGGGGTGGTTGGGGTCCAGCGCACTAGCTCTGGTAGGAAGACTGCAGCCTCGTGGTCAGGCAGACGTGGTCCGAGAAGGACACGTGTTGAGTTGTTGCTGCTTTGTGCTCTGAGCAGGAGCGAGGGTGGGATTCCCAGGCCTGCTTGGAGCTGCTGGCAGGTGTGCGCCCTGCTGCCTCCATCTGTCCTGGTCTGCCCTGAGCTCTCTGGTCCCTGCTCCGATGACCCTGGCCAGGAGCATCCCTAGTGATATAGAGGCTCCTGGGTCCTCCTATTGGTCCTACTTTTTGGGCATAGTGGTTGCCTGCCCACATCAAGGTACAAGGGCCCTCCTTCCCAACCCCACCTGGGAGCAGGCTTGCCCACCTTTCTCCTCCCAGTCCAGCAAAGAGCCGCAACAACACTGTCACGTGGTAGCAGCTCTTCTCACTGGTCAGTCTCGTGGGAACTTCCGAGGAGAAGGCCGCATGTAGCTCCCGGCCAAGGATACATGCTGTGATCCCCGGTCCCTGACACTGTTCACAGACCTCTGCCCCTCACGCCCTCTCCTGCCACAGGCTGGTCTCTCCTTGCAGATGAGCCGCGGCTGAGCTTGACAGGTCACGTGCAGCCTCCAGCCCGTGGCACGTTCTGGGTTGTAGCCCCTCTCACCCCCTCGGGCTCCCACCCAAGCAGGCACCAGGTGCAGAGGTCAGGGGTTCGAGCTCGGTGGCTCCTCTTTCATAGACTGGAAGCGCGAGCCCTGCACTCCCACCAGACGGGGAGCTGGAGCCGGAGGTCAGATCACGGGAGGGGGGGCGGGGGGGGTGACGGAACCCCGGCGCGGCTGGCGGGAGCGAATGGTGCAGCCCTGGACACTCCGTCAGCTCCGCAAACTACCCAACAGCGTTCTGCTGTCAGGTGTCTACTCGAGAAATGAAAATATACGTCCACGTGAAAATCTGTGCACGAATGTTCGTAGCAGTATTACTCACAATAGCCGAAATGTGGAAATGCCCCCGAGCCAACAGGTAATGAGTGGGTGAGGGACGTGTAGCCGGACAGCGGATGTCATTAGGCCCACAAAGGGAGTCGGGCATGCAGCGCAGCCGGGCCGCAGAAGACCACACTGGAGGGTGCGGTCACACGGACCAGGGACGCCGATAGCGGAGGGACGCAGGCTGGCGGCTGCTCAGGGCTGGCAGGGACGGCGGGAGGCCAGGAGGCCACAGGCACGAGGTCTGTTTCTGAGGTAATGAAATGTTTTAGAAATGGACCATGATGACAGTTGCACATGTTTGTGAATATACTAAAAACCATGGAGTTGTATACTTTAAACAGGTGAATTCTATTTCAACAAAGCTGTTTTTAATAAGAGAAATATAATTTATATACTATAAAATTCACCCCTTTAAAGTGTACATTTCAGTGGTTTTTAGAATATCGAGAAGTTGTGTAACCCTCACTGCTGTCTAATTCTAAAAGATTTCCGTCACCCCGGAAAGAACCCACAGCAGTTGGCAGTCCCTCCTGCGCTCCGCGGGCCCCGGCCCCAGCCACTGCTCTCCTGTCTCCGAGCCTGTGTTCTTGACATTTCGTGTGGACGGAGCCATAATGTGTGGTCTTTTGTGATGGCTTTTCTCACTTAGTGTAATTTTTAAGCATGTATCAGTACTTCGTTCTTCTCATAAATGGCTGGATAACATTCCACTGTATGGATGTGCATTTTATGTGCACATTCCCAGATGGTGGCCATGGACATTGTCGCTCTTACTGTAAATGATGCTGCCGTGAATGTTTCTGTGCAAACTCTGTGTGAATGCTCTCTGGTGGGTACTTGGGAAGTCTGTGTAACTTGGAGGAACTGCAGCTGTTGTCCAGAGCAGTGGTTCTCTTACACAGCCACCAGCTGTGTGTGAGGGTTGATGTCTCTGCACCCTGGTCAGCATTTGTTACCATCTTTCTTATTTTGCCTATACTAGTTGAAGTAGATTCTCATTGTTTTTTTTCCTCACTTGAGGGTATGCTTTTCATTGATTTTAGAGACAGGAATGAAGGGATGGGGAGAGAAAGAGAGAGAGAGAGGGACATTGATCTGTTGCCTTCCACACATGCCCTGACAGGGAATCGAACCTGCAACCTGAGTATGTGCCCTGACTGGGAATCAAACCAAGCACCTTTCGGTGTGCGGGATGATGCTCCAACCCCCTGAGCCACACTAGCTAGGGCTCATTGTGGTTTTGATTTGCATTTCCCCAAGAGCTAGTAAAGTTGACCATTTTTCAATGTGCTTATTGGATATATATATAAAATCTGCTTTGGAATAATAGCAATTCAGATCCTTTGCTCATGTTTTAATTGGGCCATTTGTCTTTTTATTGAGTTGTAAAGTTCTTTGTATATTAGGGATACTAGACCCTCATCAGAAATATGATTTGCCAATATTTTACCCCAGTCTGCATTATTTTTCACTTTTAGACAGTTGAAGCACAAAAGTTTTAAATTTTTATGAAGTCTCTTTTGTTTTTATTTGTCATTTCTACTTTTGATGTCTTATCTAAGAAACTATTGCCTGAGACAAGGCCACAAAGATTTATACCTTTAAGAGTTTTATGATTTTATCTGCTACATAGGCCTCCAGTTTTGTTCTTTACGAAGTATGTTTTGACTATTGCGGTTTCCTTGCATTTCCCTATAAACTTTGGATCAGCTTGGCAATCTCTGCAATAGACACAATTGGAACTTTGAAATAGGGATTACATTGAACCTGTACATTAATTTGGGGGAGTATTGCTACCTTAATATTAAGTCTCCCAAATCCATGAAAATGGGTTATCTTTTCTGTTTTTGTAGCTCTTCTATCATTTCTTTCAATAGTGTTTTGTAATTTTCATGGTACACCTTTTATTTTAAATCTCTTTGGAGCTATTTTAAATGGCATTCTTAATTTCATTTTGTTTGTTTTTAATTTAAACTTATCTTTATTGTTGAATGTATTACAGATGTCTCCCCTCTTTTCCTCATTGACCCTCCTTTCTCCTCGCTCTCCCACTCACCTCCTGCCTTCCCCAACCTATTGTCTGTGTTCACTGGTTATGCATATATATTCTTTGGTTTATCTCTTCCTGCTCCCCCACCCCCCCATCCCTTTGAGGTTCATCAGTCTAACAACCAAATTGTACTTCTTAATCCCTTCACCTTTTTAGCCCGTCCCTCCAACTCCCCTCCACTGGCAACCAACAAAAAGTTCTCTGTGTCTGTGAATCTGTTTCTGTTCTGCTTGTTCATTTTGTTTGTAGGTTCAATTGTTTAAAGATATGTATTTATTGCCATTTTATTGTTCATATTTTTTATCTTCTTCTTCAGGAAGACCCTTCAACATTTCATGTAATACTGGTTTGGTGATGATGAACTCCTTTAGCTTTTCCTTTTCTGGGAAGCTCTTTATATGGCCATCAATTCTATCTTCAGATAGAGTGGGAAGGAGAGAGGAAGGAAGAGAGAAAGAGAAACATCAATGTGAGAGAGACACATCAAGTGGTTGCCACCAACACGACCCCAACCAGGGCTGGGGACATACTGCAACTGAGGTATGTGCCCTTAGCGGGAACTGAACCCAGGACTCTCTGGTCCACAGGCCAATGCTCTAACTGCTGAGTCAGACTGGCCAGGGCTGGCCGTCAATTCTAAATGAGAGCTTTACAGGATAGAGTAATCTTGGTTGTAGGTCCTTGCTTTTCATCACTTTGAATATTTCTTGCCACTCTCTTCTGGCCTGCAAAGTTCCTTTTGAAAAATTGTCTAACAGTCTTATGGGAGCTCCCTTGTATGTAACTAACTGCTTTTCTCTTGCTGCTTTTAAGATTCTCTCTTTGTCTTTAACCTTTTGCATTTTGATGATGTGTCTTGGTGTGGATTTCTTTGGGTTCATCTTGTTTGGAACTCTCTGTGCTTCTTGGACTTGTATGTTTGTATCCTTCATCAAGTTAGAGAAATTTTCTGTCATTATTGTTTCAAATAAATTTTCAATTTCTTGTTCTCTCTCTTCTCCTTCTGGCATCCCTATGATGCGAACGTTGTTACGCTTGATATGGTCCCAGAGGCTCCTTACACTATCGTCATTTTTTTAGATTCTTTTTTCTTTTTTTTTTTTTATCCTCACCCGAGGATATTTTTCCATTTTTTGTACAGATAGAGTGGGAGGGAGAGAGGAAGGGAGAGAGAGAGAGAAACATCGACATGAAGGGACACATCGAGTGGCTGCCACCCGCACAACCAACCAGGGCCGGGGACAAACTGCAACCGAAGTACGTGCCCTTAGCGGGAACCGAACCCGGGTCTCTCCGGACCGCAGGCCGATGCTCTAACCGCTGAGCCAAACTGGCCAGGGCAGATTCTTTTTTCTTTTTGCTATTCTTATTGGGTGTTTTTTGCTTCCTTGTATTCCAAATCAATGGTTTGCTTATTGGCTTCACCTACTGTACTGTTGATTCCCTGTAAATTATTCTTTATTTCAGCTAGTGCATTTTCATCTGATTGTGCATCCTTCATTTCTGCCTGGTCCTTTTTCATGCTCTTGAGGTCCTAAGTTTCTTAAGCATCCTTATAACCAGTGTTTTGAACTTTGCATCTGTTAGATTGTTTAGTTGTTTTCCTGGAGTTTTATTCTGTTTTTTCATTTGGGACATGTTTCTTTGTCTCCTCATTTGGCTGCTTCCCTGTGTTTGTTTCTTATGTATTAGGTAGAGCTGCTATGTCTCCTAGGCTTCCAAGGATGGCCTATTGTAGTAGGTATCCTGGAGGGTCCAGTGGCACAGCCTCCCAGTTGGACCCTTGAGGTGCACCCCTCATGTGGACTGTTATAATTGAATCTTGTTTGCTGTTGGCACGTTAGTAGGAGAGATGTACTCAGGCTGATCAGCTGCAAGGACTAGGTGTGCCCACTGACCTCTGACTGCCTTGGAGGATCAGCTGTGCAGGGCCCACCACACAGAGCAAGACTTACTTCAGCAGGGCTCTGGTACCTACCGAGTCCATTCCTTGAGTGTGTCACTTGTGGAGGTGGTTGGGTGGTGGTGCTTCGACATGGTCCGAGGCTGTCCACTGGGTGTGCTGGCTCTGGGGCAAGGTCAGCCACTGCTTGTGCTCTATCCAGAGCTACCAGGCATAAGCTACAGAGTGATCTGAAGATGGCTGCTTCTTGTGCTGGGCTTGGAGGTGCCCAGGCCAAGTCAAGTTGTGAACCAAAGCTGGCTGCTTCTACTGCCAGGCCTGGGGCCACTTAGTGAGAGGCATGGAGCTCGCTGAGGCCAAATGCTGCTGTGTGAGAGAATTTATAAAAATCTGAAGCAGGAGCCAAGACAGGCCAATCCTATGGTAAAGCCACTGGAAGCAGCTGGGGTGGGCCCGAAACTGGGGAGGGGTGGGGCCTCAGGGAATCACCAGGGTGGGCTACCAGTGTGAGCCAGGTTGCTAGAGTCCCAGATATGGCAGCTGTCTGCTGCCCCAGGGAAGAGCTCACCAAAGGAACAATGGCCTCCACCAGCACATCAGGAGAAAGCTGCCTCTCCAGCTCTTCCCCGATGCCAAACAACTCAATTTTTCCCTGTATGTTTCTGGTGCCTCTCAAGCTGTCTCCTCAACGCTGGAGCCCGCGGGGTTTGAGTTCAAGTAAGTCCGTGTGCGGGCCCTTTAAGAGGAGCTGCCTGGGGCTCCAGCCACCTCAGCCTCCCTGAGCCTCAGTTCCCGCTGGTTTTCCAGCCAGAAGTGATGGGGATTCTCTTCCTGGCACTGGAACCCTGAGCGGGGCACCTGGTGTGGGACGGGGACCCCTCAGTCCTCAGGGAGGACCTTCCCAGCCGAGGTGTCCTCCTGATTTTTATCTGCCACACGTGGGTGTGGGACCAGCCTGACCGCCTCCGCCCTCCTGCCAGTCTCCATGTGGCTGCTTTAATTTCCTAGATGTAGGACTTCCATTCAGCTCGCTTCAGGTTCTGAAGGATGGTTGCTCTGTAGTTTAGTTGTAATTTTGATGTGGTTATGGGAGGATGTGAGTACTGCATTTACCTATGTTGCCATCTCGGCCGAAAGTCTCTCATTTCATTTTTGAAGTTTCATTGCTAATGCATAGAAATGCTGTTGAATTTTATCTCTTGATCTGTCTCCTGCAACTATGTTAAAATCATTTATTAGTTCTAATAGTTTTTCAGTGAATTCCTTAATGTTTTTCTTTATATGTAATCATGTCATTTGCAAAAAGATAGTTTTTCATATTTCTTTCCCATCTGGATATCTTTTCTTTCTTTCTCCCTCTCCCTCTTTCTCTCTCTCTCTCTCCCCCTTCCTTTCCTTTCTTTGCCTAATTGCCCTGGCCAGCCCCTCTGGCACGTGTGGAATCGAAATGGTGAGGGCAGACTTCCTTGTCTTTTTGTCTGATCTTAAGGGAAAACATTCAGTCTTTCTCCATGAAGTCTGATGTTGACCTTCATCGAGTTGTGGGCTTGCCCTTCATTTCTAATCTGTAAGGACTTTGATCATGAGAGGGTGAATGCTCTTTTGCATCTGTTGATGTGATCAGGTGGGGATTTTCCCTTTATTTTATTGATATGGTCTAATACTTTGACTTTTGGATATTAAGGCAACCAGGTAATCCTGGGATAAATTCAACTTGTTCATGCTTCTTTGTATGATTCTTTTTATATGTTGTGGGATTTGTTTTGCTAGTATATTTGTTGAGGATTTTTAAAAATCTTCACTTGTAAAGGGCTGTAGTTTGGGGGTATTTTTGTGATGTTTTTGTCTGGTTTGTTAATCTGCCTCGTAGAATGGAGTTGGGAAGTGTTCCCTTCTCATCAGTTTTTTGGGGAAGAGTTTATAAAGAATTAGTGATAATTCTTTAAATGTTTGGTAGAGTTCACCAGTAGTACCTTCAGGTCTGAGCTCTTCTTTGTGGGAATTAATTCAGTCTGTGTACTTGTTAGAACTAGTTACATTGTGTGTTTCTTCTGGAGCCAGTCTGGGTAGTCGGTGTCTTTCTGGGCCCTTGTGTGTGCACCTGCGTCCGGTCTGTGAGCGTGTTCGGAGCAGTCCCGTGTCGGAGCAGTCCCGTGTCGGAGCAGTCCCGTGTCGGAGCAGTCCCGGGTCGGAGCAGTCCCGTGTCGGAGCAGTCCCGTGTCGGAGCAGTCCCGTGTCGGAGCAGTCCCGTGTTCGGAGCAGTCCCGGGTCGGAGCAGTCCCGTGTCGGAGCAGTCCCGTGTGCCCGCTCACTGCCGCCACCTTGGTAGTGACGCTCCGTCTTTCACCCAAATTGTAGCGTTTTTGAGTCTTCTCCTTTCGGCATCTACCCTTTCATTTCGGCCAAATGGTTTCCTTTAGTATTTCTTGTAAAGCGGGCCTGGAAGCAATGAATTGCGTCAGGTTTTTGTTTTAATTTCTAAATCTGAGAATGTTTTAATTTTGCCTTCATTTTTGAAAGGATGGTTTTGCCGGACATAGGATTCTTATTTGGCATTCTCTTTCTTTCAGTACTTTGAATATATCGTCCTGCTGCCTCTGACCTCCGTGGTTTCGGAGGAGAGATGAGCGTTATTGTTATTGAGGATCTCTTGTAGGGGATGATTTGCTGTTCTCTTGCTGCTTTGAAGATTCGTTGTCTTTTGACAGCTTGACTGTGATGCACCTGGGTGTGGTCCCTGAATTTACTCTATTTGGAGTTTGTTGAGCTTCTTAGATGTTTAGATGCATGTTTTTCACCAAATATGGAACGTTTGGGACCATTATTTCTTCAAATACTCTTTCTGCTCCTTTTCTTTCTTTCTCCTTCTTAGACTCCCATTATTTGCATATTATTATGTTTAATGCTATCCCCACAGGTCTCTGTGGCTGTCTTCATTTTTCTTCATTTTCTTCTGTTCTGTTTCTCAGACTGGATTTTCTCAACTGACCTGTCTCAAGTTCACTGACTTTCTTCTGACAACAGCTTCTAGTGAATTTTTCATTTCAGTTACTGTACTTTTAAACTCCAAAACTTATATTTGGTTCACTTTAAGATTTATATTTCTTTATTGGTATTCTTTATTTGGTGGGAAAGTATTTGCGTATCCTTTAATTTTCTTAGACCTGGTTTCCTGTAGTTTGTTGGACAACGTTTATAAAGCCAATTTACAGTCTCTCTTTAGTAAATCCAAGATCTGGGTTTCTTTAAGGACATTGCCTATTGACTGTTTTTTCTTCTGTTTCTATGTGTGTTTTGTAGTTTTTTGTTGAAAACTGAGCATTTAAAATAAAATAATATGGCAACTGTAAATCAGTGACCCTCTGTCTTCCCTCAGGACTTGTTCTGTTAATTGCAGTTTGTTTAGTGACTTTTTTGGACAAATGTTATAAAGTCTGTTCTGTGTAGTCACCGAAGTCTCTCCCTGGCTAGTTAATGAGTGGACAGTCTGTAAGTCGCATCAGCCACGGAGTCTCCTGTCCTTTGCCCGGCGTCATGTCCTGTTTGCACCTGGAGTGAGGGCCAGTTCCAGGGGAGGGGTCAAGACCCTCCCAGGTCCTTGCTGGGCGTGCACAGCCCTGCACAGGCGTGAGGTCTCGAGACCCTCAGGGAGGGATAGGACCTTTTCAAAGCCCACTTTCAATATTACAGTCACCTGACACTCCATTTTAGGTTTTTGGAAAGCCTCCTGTTGGCCCCAACTGATGTTACTGTCTCAGCCGTGGCTGCTGATTGATGTTCATCAGATGCCCTCAGGGTAGAACTTTCCCTGCCAGGCAAACTGCATCAGGTCAGATAAATACAGGCCCTGAGGATGGGGCTTTGGGGGAAGCTCCAAACCCATTCCACCCCTTCGGTGATTACGAGGCTGCTGAGCGTCAAGGATTCCACGGAGCTGGGGAGAGCAGGATGGGACTTGGCATAAAACGCTCCACAGTGATTGATCTGTAGTCACGGCCTGTGCAGGCTGGGAGCTCACTGCTCATGGGTTTATACCTGGTTGAGGCCAGGTGTCCAGGGTGTGAGTCCCTCTGGTAGGGGCTGGAGCTGAGGACACTCCTGCTGCATCTGGCCCAGTTCCTTGTCATCTGGAGCATCTGAAACAGCAGCTGCTTCCAGTGTCCTCAGTGCCTGGGTGGCTTACAGGTGGCTCTTCTCTCCGCAGAGGACTTACCAAAGCCACAGATTATCACCCAGCCAGAGACGACCATGGCCGTGGTGGGCAAGGACATCCGGTTCACGTGCTCAGCAGCCAGCAGCAGCAGCTCCCCCATGACCTTCGCCTGGAAGAAGGACAACGAGGTCCTGGCCAACGCTGACATGGAGAACTTTGCCCATGTCCGGGCACAGGATGGGGAGGTGATGGAGTACACCACCATCCTGCACCTCCGCCACGTCACCTTCGGGCACGAGGGCCGCTACCAGTGCGTCATCACCAACCACTTTGGCTCCACCTACTCGCACAAGGCCAGGCTCACTGTGAATGGTACGGAGGCGCTGCCGGCCCCCACGCACCGTTCTGGCAACCCTGGGGAGGACCGAGGCAGCAGACACGGGTCATCCGCAGTCCTGGGTTGGCCCCACAGCAAGTTTTGAAGATTGAAGGGTTATTCTTAGTGGAGTCTTTGTTTTGGGGGTAAAATAACTTTTACCCCGTTATTATGTTAAGTGAGATTGTGGACCCAACCAAGCCTTGTATTGAATCCATTTTATTATCCTCTGTAAACCAAGATGTCAGGTATTCAGATCCAAGAGGCCATGAACCACAGCCTCGGAGCCAGAGGCCAGCCCGGGGAGGCAAGTGAGTCAGCGGTAGGAGCCCGTGCCCCGCCCAGAGGCTGTGGAGTGCAAGGCAGTGTGAATGCTGGCCCTCAGGCGCTGGGTTCTGTGGGTGTGCCGGGCGTGTGCAGGTGTGTGCCGGGTGTGTGTGGGCGTGTGCAGGTGTGTGCCAGGTGTGTGTAGGCGTGTGCAGGTGTGTGTGTGGGCGTGTGCAGGGTGTGTGCCAGGTATGTGTGGGCATGTGCTGGGTGTGTGCTGGGCGTGTGTGGGTGTGTGCCAGGTGTGTGTGGGCATGTGCCAGGTATGTGTGGGTGTGTGCCGGGTGTATATGGTTGTGTACAGGTTGTGTGCTGGGCATGTGCCAGGTGTGTGTGGGTGTGTGCCAGTGTGTATGGGCATGTGTGGGTGTGTGCTGGGTGTATATGGATGTGTGCAGGTGTGTGCTGGGCATGTGCCAGGTGTGTGGGTGTGTGCCGGTGTGTATGGGCATGTGCAAGTGTGTGCCAGGTGTGCCGGGCGTGTGCGGGCATGTGTGCGGGTGTGCGCCAAGGATGTTTACTGTGCACAGCGTTAGAGCTTTTCCATGTGGATTCTTCAGGACTGCTGTTCATTGTAGTGAGTTCGGAGCAGGAGGAGTTAGTCACCGCACCCCCATAACCTAACGAGATTTTCCTGATTATAAACCTCTCATTAAAAAGTACTGGAACCGCCCTGGCCACTTTGGCTCAGCGGTTAGAGCGTCGGCCCGCGGACCAAGGAGTCGGCGGGTTCGATTCCAGCCAAGGGCACGTACCTTGGTTGCGGTTCGTCCCTGGCCCAGGTCAGGTCATGCTGGAGGCAACCAGTCGATGTGTCCCTCACGATGATGTCTGCCTCCCCGCCTCTTTCTCCCTGCCTCCCACTCTTTCTGAAGATAAATGGAAAAATATCTTCAGGTGAGGAGTCAAAAAAAAATACTGGAACCAGTATGTCCTTAGGCCCTTACCGACCACAGAAGAACATACCCTTCACCACACCAGGGCTGGTTTTCTTGGCTTTTCTGAGGGAGTTCTTATTGTGTCTCAAAAACTCAGTGAGCCGTTGGACCCTCCCCCAGCGCAGCCTTGGTGGAGCCTGTGGCTGGGTGCTTAGCAGTGTGTGCAGGTACCTGGGGGAGTGGGGTGAATGCTTTCAGCTGTGTGCGCAGTGACGCAGCCGCCGTCCCTCGACGGCTCTCCAGGCGGGCGCCTCACACTCCCTGATTGCCTCTTGCTGGAGCAGAGTTCGTGGCCAAGGCTCTCCTGCTGGTCTGTACGGTGGGCAGGCACCGGCCTGGCTCTTACGGGTGTCCCGGTACAGGCTGATTGCGTGTGAGGGGTGCAGAGGACAGGTCTCACTGGAAGCCTGCGTGTGGGGTGTCGCCCTCTCGGAGGTACAGGAGACTGATGGAGACGCTCATGGTGGCCACAAGCAGCTGGGCAACCTTGGGGACCTGGTGCTGCTCATTCAGAGGTGGCAGTAGTGGGGGCATGCAGACCTTGGCACGAGGGTGGGGAGCTGGCACCCAGACACGGGGGAAGGGGGGCTGTTCTGGCCTCTGTGTCTATTTTCTCGTAACCCGACCTGATTGTGTTTCAGTGCTGCCGTCATTCACCAAAACGCCCCACGACATCGCCATCCGGACGGGCACCATGGCTCGCCTCGAGTGCGCTGCCACTGGCCACCCCAACCCCCAGATAGCCTGGCAGAAGGACGGCGGCACCGACTTCCCTGCGGCCCGCGAGCGCCGCATGCACGTCATGCCTGACGACGACGTGTTCTTCATCACGGACGTGAAGCTGGGCGACATGGGCGTGTACAGCTGCACCGCCCAGAACTCGGCCGGCTCCGTGTCGGCGAATGCCACCCTGACTGTCCTAGGTCCGCCTGCGGCACGCGAGTGTGTGAGACAGGCTCCCCAACTAGCACAGATCCCAGGAGTTGGGGTCCTCAACCTGATCTGTGGGCGCAAGGGGGGCAGAGTGGTGGGGTCTCCACATTGGCCTTTAGGTCACCATCTAAGATTGTTTTTTGAACAGGTGGTTCCATCCCTTACAAAGTGGGCTGAGGTATAAAACACATAGATAAGTGTCTGAACGGTGCCGGGCAGGGTGGAGACAGGCCCGCGGGGCACAGGCACGAGTCCGTGCTCCTGGCGCATCCGCCAGCCTGGGCGTGACGGCGTTAGAAGGGCTTCTGGAAGCTTTGTCCCTCTGATGCAGGTCCCGTGGCCCTTCCCCAATGGGTGGGTTGTCTTTGTCCAGAACCACTGAGGCCACAGAGTGACCGTCAGACCCCTCTGCCTTGCAGAAACCCCGTCGCTGGCGGTGCCTCTGGAAGACCGCGTGGTGTCGGCGGGGGAAACGGTGGCGCTGCAGTGCAAGGCAGCCGGGAGCCCCCCGCCCCGCATCACCTGGCTCAAGGGGGACCGGCCCCTGGGCCTCAGCGCGCGGCACCACTTCACGCCCGGCAGCCAGCTGCTCGTGGTGCAGAACGTGGTGGCGGAGGACGCGGGCCAGTACACCTGCGAGATGTCCAACGCCCTGGGCACAGAGCGGGCGCACAGCCAGCTGCGTGTGCTGCCCAGCCCTGGCTGCAGGAAGGACGGGACCACCGTGGGCATCTTCACCATCGCTGTGGTGTGCAGCGTGGTCCTGACGTCCCTGGTCTGGGTGTGCATCATCTACCAGACCAGGAGGAAGAGTGAGGAGTACAGCGTCACCAACACAGGTGCCCGCTGCCGGCCAAGTCTGTTCGGGGAGGAGAGCAGGGGCCCTGGGAAGGGGGCCGGCGCAGAGGCTGGTCCAGGGATTTCTGTGGATTTAAGCCTGCAGGGCCTTGGGGAACGCGGAGCCGTTCTGGACCGCTGATCTTCAGTGTCGCTGAATTTCAGCTTCCAGGACTTTAACATCAAATACACATGCGTCATGGCCCTGGCCGGTTTGGCTCAGCAGTTAGAGCGTTGGCCGGCGGTCCAGAGAGTCCCGGGTTCGGTTCCCACTGAGGGCATGTACCTGGGTTGCAGTTTATCCCCAGCCCTGGTTGGGTCACACGGTGGCAGCCACTCAATCGGTCCCTTTCATGTCAATGTTTCGCTCTCTCTCCCTCCCACTCTATCTGAACAAAAAATAGAAAAATGTCCTCAGGTGAGGATAAAAAAATACACACACTCACACACTCTCATGCATTATGAACTCTGGTGACTCGGGCATCCGTGGCCAGTGCTGCTGCCACATGGGGGCTGTGGATGCAGTGGCTCAGCATTGTGTCTGGTTAAATTCCTGGAAGCTGAAAGTCAGTGACATTGAAGCTCAGCGGTCCAGACCGGCTGTCTCTTCCCATCACGCTGTCGGTCTTTTGCGCCCTTGGGCATCTGATCACCACACTTCTTACACCCCACGTACAAGACTCCCCAGTCTGCACGGCCTTGACAGCTGCCATTGGGGGACCCAGTATGTGTCTGTCTGCATTCCCTGTCACCACAGAGGGCTGGGACACCTGGTGGGTGACTGTCCTGTCTCTTTGCAGATGAGACCGTTGTGCCTCCAGATGTCCCGAGCTGCCTGTCCTCTCAGGGGACCCTCTCTGACCGACAGGAGACCTTGCTCAGGACTGAGGGTGGTCATCAGGCCAACGGGCACGTCGAGAACAATGGTAAGGCCTCTAGCCCTTGCCAGGGCAGGGACATGGTATTACGTCGAGCACGTTTGACCTGGGAGTCTGGTGACTCAAGCCTGTTTGGACCTCCCTGTGCAAGTTCTGCCAAGTTGAAAACCATCCCCAGGAAGTCTCTGTGTTGGTCTTAGCATCTCTGCGGAGACTTGGCTCCTCTCATGCTCAGTAGCTCTCAAGGGTGAGCTGCTTCCTGGGGAGAAGCATGTGCTCAGGGCAAGTGCACCCCCCCAGGGACTCCCTCCCTACTGGGAAGGCAGTCTTAGAAAGCAGACCTGTGGGCCCCCACTCCAGAGAACATTGAGAAACGACTCCCTTCTAGCATCCTTGCCCACCCTTTCCCTAAGGCTCTGCAGCGTGAAGCCTGGCATCGCCAACGGTGTGGGACTCTGTTGCAGGTGTCTGTCCGAGAAACGCAGGCCTCTTCCCCGAAGTGGATGCCCACGGCGTCCTGTGCCGGCAGCCCAGGCTCTGTGTTGGGTGCAGCAAGGAGCCGTGGAGAGCGGCGGAGAAAGCTGATGGCCCGCCTGGCCCACAGGAGACAGGTATAAGATGCTGCATCAGGAAAAGTAGTTACTGAAATCCACATCTGGGTTGACCTCATTAATGAAAAGGGGAGACATTACTGGTCTAAGACTATCTCAGAATTGGGTATTCAGTATCTAAACAGAAGCACTGTGGTGCCTGGCTCTCTGGGGTCAAGTAGGATGTCTCCCAAATAAACCTATGGTGTGGTCAGCCTGGGCATGAACTTTCCAGATTAATAAGCAACTTAAGTAAAGGGCAAGGCCCAGACAAAAGGACCTTTTCACCAGGGCTCTTGGGAGGCTCCATTTCTAATTGTTGGGAGACCCCCTACTGCATGGGGTCCCACTCAAATGGGGTTCTTCATGTGGCCAGCGTCTGGTGAAGAAATTGATCTGCAGCAGAGAAACGGAAGCGCCTGCTCCTCGGGGTGTTTGCCCAGCCCTCGTCCTGAGCAGTGCGGGGCGAGGGGTCGCGGTGCCGGAGCAGCAGCGGGGGGCTGGGCTCGGTGGATCTGACGGCCTGGCCGTGTCTTGCAGAGCACAGTGGCCCGGTCGTGCACAGTGAGAGCAGCACTGGTGTGGACAGTGACTCCACGGAACACGCCTCCTGCCCCCAGCCCACGCCCAGAGACAGGGCACAGCCGGGGGCCCGCAGCAGCCAGGAGCCCAGCCCGAGTGCCCAGGAGCCTTCTCCGCCTCGGAACAGTGGGGCTACCGGCGGGGCTCCCCCCGAGGACGGGGGGTCCCTCTACCCCAGTAACCACGACAGAATGCCGACATCCTGGACGCAGCCGCCAGGGGCACCTCCAGATGGAGAAGGTAAATGTTTCCTGTCTCCCCAGAAGCCGCCAGCCGCTGGGGGCAGCGCAGACCCAGCCAGGCCAACGGGCCTGATGTCCCCTCTCCTCTCCGCAGGGGCCTCTTCCTGGACGTTAGCAAGGCTGTGCGAGCCGGACTGCGCCCTGGCTCCCGGCAGTTCTGAGCGCGCACGCGCCCCCTCGGGCTTGCCCGACACCCGCAGCGAAGGCCGGTACTTGCTCCTTTCCAATGGACACCTCCCCAGAGCCTGTGACTCCCGTCCCGAGTCCACACCACTGACAGGACAGCTCCCCGGCACGCGGACTGGGCCGCTGCTGTTTGCACCGCGGGTCTAGGCCCCGCCCACCTCCCCGTGGCCGCGGGAGGGGAGAGGTGGGAGGGGCTGAGGGGGCCCGTGTCCGATCTGCAGTCCTGACCCCGTGTGGAGTGTCAGTAGGAGGACTTACAGCTGAAGCGCAGGATGCAAGAGGCTATTGTGTGCAAACGGCAGAAAAGTATTTGATACCATTGTACATAAGAGTTTTCAGAGATTTCATATATATTATATATCTTTTACAGAGGCTATTTTAATCTTTATTGCATGGTTAACAGAAAAAAATTGTACAATTTTGACAATATTATTTTTCATAGCAGGTTGCTGTTTAATTTTGGAAGAGGGGATAGTGCTGGTGCCTTAATGCATGGATGGAATTCATAGAAGCTAAAACCACATCTGCTCCCAGGAGTGGTGGGTGGGAAGGATGGAGAGTCCTTAGACGTGTACCACACATGGTAGGACACACCCAGGGTGCTTATAGGCAGAGACTTGGTCTGCAGCGCAAGTCACTTCACATCCGCGTGGCTCACGTGCGGGTGCGCCTGCAGCAGGCTCCTGGGGCCTGGCCTGCGGGCGGCAGGTCCCTCTGCACTGAGTGACCTTTCTCATGGGTTTATTTATTTAACAACATGATGGGGATTGTTAATTCACCACAAGCATTTGGTCTGAACAAATAAGCCTTTCTTTCTTCTTTGATAAGAGCAAATGTGGTCTTAGTATCATCTGATTGTCATTTGAGGCTTTCTAATAAGACAGAAGCTGCTGCTGTTGGTACCTGTGGATTTTTCAATAGTGAGGCTTTAGTTCTGCCAATAATAATTAAATTACATTGGTGTGCAGGGAGAAAAAGGTTGAAGTCCTTCTTTTCAGGACCAGCTTATCTGCTGAGGGTCTGGAGCAGCCCTGGCCGCGACCTTCCCTCGCACGGACGAACCCAGGCTCGGACTTGCAAGTTTCAGCCCTGGACTTGGGTTCTGGCGTATTTGCACTTTCGAGACTGTAGCTGACCATCTCGTGGGTGCCAATGGGTATTTCAGGAAAAATACATGGAAACTAACAAGGTCCTTAGAAGCCCGGAAAGCAAGGTCCTTTAGCCAAGAAGCCGAAGGCAGGTACTGAACGACGGCTCCCGTGTGAAATGTGCCTTCAGGTGTCATCACTGCTCCAGAGGTGAGCACATTAGAATTGTGTTCTCAACAGTTAACGATTAATGTTACTTCCACAACATGTGAATTTGCTGCTTCTGAGAGGCAATGTGAAAGAGGAAGTATTACTTTCATGTACAAAGTTATTTATTTATAGAAATTTTGGTACAGTGTACATTGAAAACGTGTAAAATACTGAAGTGTCTAACATGGCAGCGGAGTGTCTTTAATAAAGGCTCACTCGTGCGCGCTCGTGTGGCTGCTTCCACGCGCCCTCGGCCAGCACCTCCCCCTTTCGCTCTGCAGTGCCCGACAAATGCAGTCCTTCTGCCTTTACTTTTTTTTCTCAAAAAAAGAAGAAAACAAATCAGTTCTTGGCGTAGGCGAAGCGGAATGGTGTACCGTAGCTCCAGGGAAAACACGGCACACCCGGTCCTGAGATCCGGGTTTTCCTAACACCCAGGGCTTATCAGCTAAGCTCTAAAATGGTGACCTTCCCCTGTCATCCCCTCTCTTTCCTGTGTTGCACTTGAGACTTCAGGCCAAGCTTTTACTGTTAGGAACCAAGAAATAACATTGTGAAGCTGGCCCAGCCCCTCATTTCGCCTGAAGCAGAGGAGCACTGAGTGTGGCCCAGTTGCCTCCAAGGCCCCTGGGCGCCTCCTGCACGCCGCCCCCGGGACCCCCCCTGCACGCCGCCCCCGGGGCCCCCCCTGCACGCCGCCCCCGGGACCCCCCCTGCACGCCGCCCCCGGGGCCCCCCTGCACGCCGCCCCCGGGGCCCCCCTGCACGCCGCCCCGGGGCCCCCCTGCACGCCGCCCCGGGACCCCCTGCACGCCGCCCCGGGACCCCCTGCACGCCGCCCCCGGGACCCCCTGCACGCCGCCCCCGGGGCCCCCCTGCACGCCGCCCCCGGGGCCCCCCTGCACGCCGCCCCCGGGGCCCTCCTGCACGCCGCCCCCGGGGCCCTCCTGCACGCCGCCCCTGGGCCCAGCTGGCCAGAGCTGCGTGTTCGTTTGCATCCACCATGTGGGCTGGGACGCTCTCGGTAGACAAAATTGTGTGTTTTTACAGGCTGAATCTGAGGGTCATCAAGAACAGCCTGGTCACCCAGCTCACATGTACCTGTACAGGGTCATTCTTTTTAAACAGACCTGCAAGCTTACGCAGTAATAATGAGCTCACGTGCACAACTGTTTCCTGTCCCGTCCTTTCCCCCATTGAGCCATTCTAAAAGAAGACCCATCTCTGCCATCCATAGAACCTGCTATCCGGTGGCAGGAAACCAAAGATCAGATACAATCAAAGAAAACTCTGAGGGGCCTGGACTCAGCATCCCTGAGCATGTTTATTAAGGAGTTCTGAGAAAGGCGTCCACAGCGCTGCCATGCTTGCTCTCAGCGCCCTGGCAGAATGCTGACAGCCCAGCCGGCCGCAGCAGGGGCACGCGCTCCTGTGCCATCTGCAGAGCTGGGCTCCCTCGGAGGGCCGAGCCGGCTGGCCTGGAGGGACACGCTCACAGCAGGCCCCTCCTGGACGAGGGGATGTGGGCGTGATTCATGGGCTCTCTTTGCCGAGTTCCAACAGCAAGCTGTGCGTTTGATCGTAAGCACCAAGAAAGATGAAACCTCCCAGACTGATTGCTGCCACTCGAGGGAAGACACCTGCAAATAATCTAGGGGAGAAGCAAAAGAGAGCTTTCAAAAATAGTGTGTAAAAAAGGTTAAATTCCAACACCCACAGTTTGCTCTACTGAACAGCATGCTGATCGAACCCCATCCACTCCTTCAAGTGCCTTTTAATGGCACCGAATTATTCCCCAGTAGATTTGCTGAGGTCTGAGCCCAGCTGTTTGTTGGCAAAAGTGGCTACATACCGAACGGCTTGTGAGCACTCACGATTAAGTCAAATGATTAGTCAAGAAGTAGTAACCCTGCCCTCACAACAGTCCTGTTCAAAACTTAAGGCCATTTCTGCCTTTTACAGATGATAGACCTGACTCCTTATCAAGGAAGCCGTGGGGTCTGGGTGTCGGCGATGTCACATGGCTCCATGACTCGGGCACGTTCCTGTCCCTAGAGACCCATGGATGGGGTGCCCAGCAGGAGACGGATCTCCATGGATTCCGTTTTCTTTTGCCTCTGATGGAGAAGAAAGGCGAACGGGCTATGCCTGGCAGGGGAGTAGCAGGCTCAGTCCCCAGGCACCTCAGAAGATGAGTCACTGTCACAGTTGCAACTTTGGAATAATTGAGGAAATGCAAAGCAAAACACAATGTTACCAGGATGTAAACCGGGGATTCATTCTTTAAAATCCTCCCATAGCTATGCAAAGGTATTGATTCAAAGGATGGTCATTGTGGCATTGCTGATAAAAAATTTTAAAAAATAATAAACTGCAAAGAACTCCCTCTAGTTGCATGGATTCTAGTACAGTCCACACGCGGGGAAACCTTGCGGTGCTGAGAACGAGGTGGGCGGGACAGACCAACACGGAGAGCACACACAGCGGGGCCTGAGAGAAGCCCAGTCCCAAAGCAGCATGGGTCACGGCCGCACGTGCACCGTCATGGCAGGCACGCACCTCACACTGTCCCTGGAGCGCAGGGTCACAGGACATTCCCTGCCTGCATTTCTGGAATAACGGAACTTTTTTTTAAACCAAGAGTATTAGTTTGTAAGCAAAACGAGTCACAAAGTCGCCCTGGCCGGTTTGACTCAGCAGTTAGAGCATCGGCCTATGGACCAGAGAGACCTGGGTTCAGTTCCCGCTAAGGGCATGTACCTTGGTTGCAGTTTGTCCCCGGCCCTGGTTGGATCGTGCAGGTGGCACCCACTCGATGTGTCCCTTTCACGTCGATGTTTCTCTCTCTCTCTCCCTCTCTCTCTCTCTCTCTATCAGAATAAAAAAATGGGAAAATGTCCTCAGGTGAGGAATTTAAATAAATAAAAAGAGTCACAAAGTAAGTGGATTTACGAGGTAAAGAGCAGATCTAGGGAAGAAACCTGAAAAAGGTCAGTTATGTCAACAGGAGTTTGTGCAGAAAGCAGGCTTCAAGGTAGTGTTCAGGGGTCCTTATTTTAATTAAATAGGGATTTAGATCATCCAGTAAAATACTACAGATGAAATTAGAACCTGTTTCTTGTCTAGAGATCACCGTGAAAACTGTAGCAGGACCAAACTACACTTGTAAGGACAAAGCTGGTCATCTCAGCAACATGCACATTGTTTCTGCATGAGGTGGTTGGTGAGCACAGAGACCTGCAAGTCACCACTCGGAGGCCACTGTGTCCTGGCCTGAGGAACAGGCCCACCTCCCTGCACCCTTCTCTCTGACTTCACTCTAAAGCCAGAGTCTTGAGTTACCCTCGGGACCTGCGGGGTGCTGAAGCATCAGAGAGGCCTGTGCCACCCAGTGGGGACTGTGCAATCCAGTTTACCTGCGGGACCGGCAAGGTGTAGGGGCACCAGAGAGACCTGGGTGACCCAGCTGCATACAAGAAAGGCTTAGAGAATGCGAAAATGGAGGCGGACTGAATAGAGGCTACGCAGACGATCTCCCAGGACCAAACGGGAATTACAACTAAAATAAAGATAAATCCTCGGAAAAAAGCAACAGAAAAGCAGCAAGACAGGACCATATAACCAGGGACACTGGTAGGATCTCCAGAGGCGCAAGAGGGTGGAGGGCTGGGAGCCCACAGACAGCAGCAGTCTTAGATGTGAGCAGTATCCTTGGGGAATAAAGACCAAGCCCGCTCCACAGCACAAAGAGCCAGGACAAGGCGCTAAAATAGGCACAGCCACTCACCTGGGGGCTATGGCAGAGGGAGGGCAGACTGGGCTGGAACTCTGTGGGGACACCTAGTATTTGAAGGGTACTCAGAGTTTTTGCTGAGTTGTGGCCACAAAGGACAATGGCCAGTGTGCTCCTTCCCCAAGCTGCGGAGAAAAGCAGCAGCGCCACCCCCCCCCCCCCCCGGAGATTCAACCTTTCCCAGGTGAGGTAAAGAAATGCAAATTGAGGCTCATTAACAATCAGCATCTATCCCACCCTCTGGAAATCCTCTTAAGCAGAACACCAGAGCTACATTCCAAGGCACTGAGTAACTGAGACTACCAGCCTCCAGGAAGAAGCTAGAGGATAACTGAACCTTTTCTGGGCTTGCAAATCTACCCAGGAAAGTAAGACTTGATGGTGGTGGTTAACGTGGGCCCACCCAGGCTCACCCAAACCCAGTAGAGGGAGCCACAAACAGCAGAACACCAACACCCACAGGGAAAATGTGGCAGGCTCCAAAACCCACTGAGATAGCCAAAATGGTGAAACAAAGAAACAAATCCCAAATGAAAGAACAAGAGAACTCTAACGAAGATGAGATAAATGAAATGCAGCTAAGCAAATTATCAGAGGTAGAGTTCAGATCCATGATCTAGAGGAAGCTCAACAGCATGAGTAAGGACATCAAGACCATGAGTAAAGATAGAGAAACATTGAAAACCAACCAAGTGGAAATGAAGAATGACATAGCAGAAATTAAGAACACATTGGAAAGAGTAACCAGCAGAGTAGAGGAAGCTGAGGACTGGATCAGTGAATTAGAAGTCAGGATAGAAAAAAATCAACCAATCAGAAAACCAAAAGGAAAAAACAAAAAACAGGAAGACAGCTTAAGAGAACTGTGGGACAACTGGAAACGTAATAACATTCGCATTATAGGAGTCCCCGAAGCGGAAGATAATGGGCAAGGATTAGAGAATATATTTGAAGAAATAGTAACAGAAAACTTTCCTAACCTGGTGAAGGAAGAAGGTATTCAAGTTCAAGAAGCACGGAGAGCCCCAAGTAAGAACCCAAACAGGCCCACACCAAGACACACAGTAATTAAAATGCCAAAAACTAAAGACAGAGAGAATCCTAAAGGCAGCAAGAGAGAAGCAACAGTTACCTACAAAGGAAACCCCATAAGGCTCTCAGCTGACTTCTCAACATAAACACTACACGCCAGAAGGTAATGGCATGAAGTAATCAAGGTCATGAAAAACAAAAATCTGAATCCAAGACTACTATATCCAGCAAGGCTATCATTCAAAATAGAAGGTCAAATAAAGAGCTTCCCAGACAAAAAAAAGGCGAAAGGAATATATTAGCACCAAACCAGCACTGCAAGATATGCTAAAAGGACTGCTGTAATTAGCAGGAGAAATAGGAAAAAAAATAGAACCACAGTAAACAAAAGTGGTACTAAATAAGTACATATCAATTATCACCTTAAATGTGAATGGTTGAATGCTCCGATAAAAAGACACAGATTACCTGACTGGATAAGAAAGCATGACTCGCCCTGGCCAGTTTGGCTCAGTGGTTAGAGCGTCAGCCTGCGATCCAGAGACACCCGGGTTCAGTTCCCGCTAAGGGCACGTACCTCGGTTGTAGTTTGTCCATGGCCCTGGTTGGTCACGCAGGTGGCAGCCACTCGATGTGTCTCTTTCACGTCGATGTTTCCCTCTCTCTCTTCCTCTCCCTCCCACTCTATCTGAACAAAAAATGGAAAAATGTCCTCGGGTGAGGATAAAAAAAGAAAGAAAGCAAGGTTCACATATATGTTGTTTACAAGAGACCCACCTCACAGCAAAAGACTCCCATAGGTTGAAAGAGAAGGAATGGAAAAAAATCTTTCAAGCAAACGGAAAGCAAAAAAAAGCTGGGGTAGCAATACTCATATCTGATCAAATAGATTTCAAAATGAAGGCCATAACTAGAGACAAAGAAGACCACTACATAATATTGAAAGGATCTATCCAACAGGAAGATATAACCTTGGTAAACATATATGCACCCAACATGGGAGCACCAACATATTAAAAATCTTCTGGAGGACATCAAAGGAGAAATCAACAGCAATACAATCATAGCAGGGGACTTCAACACCCCGCTGACATCACTGGATAGATCCTCTAGACAAAAAATTAACAAGGAAACAGAGACTCTAAATAAAGCGCTAGATCAAATAGATTTAATAGATATCTATAGAGAATTACACCCCAAAACTGCAAAATTCACATTCTTCTCAAGTGTACACGGGACATTCTCAAAGATAGACCACATGTTAGGGCACAAACTAAGTCTCCACAAGTTCAAGAAGACTGAAATCATATCAAGCATCTTCTCAGATCACAATGGCATGGAACTAGAAATCAATTGCAACAAGAACATGCAAGGATATTTGAATACATGGAGGATAAATAGCATGTTATTGAACAATGAATGGGTTACCAAGGAGATCAAAGAAGAAATTAAAAATTTCCTGGAAACCAATGAAAATGAACATACAACAACAGAAAATCAGTGGGATGCAGTGAAAGCAGTTCTGAGAGGGAAGTTTATAGCACTACAGGCCTACCTCAAGAAGCAAGAAAAATTTCTAATACACTATCTAACCTCACAACTTAAAGAACTAGAAAGCAAACTAAAAGAAAACCCCAGAGCAAGTAGAAGGAAGGAAATAGTAAAGATCAGATCAGAAATAAATGACATAGAGACCAAGAAAACAATTCAAAGGATCAATGAAACAAAGAGCTGGTTCTTTGAAAAGATAAACAGGATTGATGGACACTTAGCTAGCCTCACCGAGAAACAGAGAGAGAGAGAACCCAAATACACAAAATCAGAAATGAAAGAGGACAAATAATAACCAACACCACAGAAATACAAAGGATTGTTAACAAATATTATGAACAATTGTACGGCAACAAATTTGACAATCTAAGTGAAATGGACAAATTTCTAGAAACACACAGTCTCCCAAAACTGAACTGGGAAGAGATACAAAACTTGAACAGACCAGTAACAACTAAAGAAATTGAAGATGTAATTAAGACTCTCCCAGCAAACAAAAGCCCAGGCCCAGATGACTTCACGGGGGAGTTTTACCGAACATTCAAAAAAGAACTAACACCCATTCTCCTTAAACTATTTCAAAAAATTCAAGAAGGAAGACTTCCAAACTCGTTTTATGAGGCCAGCATAATTCTAATTCCAAAACCAGAAAAAGACACTACAAAGAAAGAAAACTACAGGCCAATATCCCTGATGAACATAGATGCCAAAATCCTGAACAAAATACTAGCAAATCGAATCCAGCAATACATCAAAAAAATTATTCACCATGACCAAGAGGGATTCATCCCAGGGATGCAAGGCAGGTACAATATTTCCAAATCAATAAATGTGATACACCACATAAACAAAATGAAAGATAAAAATCATATGATCATATCAATAGATGGTGAAAAAGCATTTGACAAAATCCAGCAACCATTTCGATAAAAATGCTCAGCAATCTGGGAATAGAGGGATCATATCTCAACGTAATAAAGGCCACATATGAAAGACCTACAGCCAACATCATACTCAATGGGCAAAAATTAAAAGCATTCCCCTTCAGAACAGGAACAAGACAGGGATGTCCACTTTCGCCACTCTTATTTAACATAGTACTGGAAATCTTAGCCACAGCAATCAGACAGGAAGAAAAAATAAATGGGATCCAAATTGGAAAGTAGGAAGTGAAACTGTCATTATTCGCAGATGACATGATACTATACATAGAAAACACCAAAGATTCCATAAAAAATTTACTAGACTTAAATGAATTTGGCAAAGTAGCAAGATAGAAAGTTAACGTCAAGAAATCGGTGGCATTCTTATACACCAATAATGAACTCACAGAAAGAGAAACTAAGAAAACAATCCCATTTACCATCGTGGCAAAAAAATTAAGATACCTAGGAATAAACTTAACCAAAGAAATAAAGGACCTATTCGCAGGTCATTGAAGGTCATTGAAAAAACAACTAGAAGAAGATATAAAAAAGTGGAAACACATACCTTGTTCATGGACTGGAAGAATTAACATCATTAAAATGTCCATACTACCCATAGCAATCTATAGATTCAATGAAATCCCCATTCAAATACCAACGACATCCTTCACAGAACTAGAACAAATACTTCAAAAGTTCATATGAAACCAAAAAGACCTCCAATAGCCACAGCAATATTGAAAAAGGAGAACAAAGTGGGAGGGATCACATTACCAGATTTCAAATTATACTACAAAGCCACTGTAATCAAAACAGTCTGGTACTGGAACAAGAACAGGCATATAGACCAGTGGAACAGAACAGAGAACCCAGAAATAGACCCAAGGCAATATGCTCAATTAATATTTGACAAAGGTGGCAAGAGCATACAGTGGAGTAAAGAGAGCCTCTTTTATAAATGGTGTTGGGAAAATTGGACAGCTACATGCAAAAAATGAAACTAGACCATCAACTTACATCATACACAAGAATATACTCAAAATGGATAAAAGACTTAAATGTGAGTCATGAATCCATAAAAATCCTAGAAGAAACTGTAGGGAACAAAATTTCAGACATTATACGCAGCAGAATTTTCACTGATACATCACCTAAGGCCAACAGAAACAAAGGAGAAAATGAACACATGGGATTACATCAAACTCAAAAGCTTTCTGCACAGCAAAAGATACAATCATCAAAATGGAAAAGCAACCCACTGTATGGGAGAGCATAATTGCCAATGATATATCAGATAAGGGGTTAATTTCCAATATATAGAGAGTGCTCATACAACTCAACAAACGGAAGGCAAAGAACCCAATTGAAAAATGGGCAGAGGAACTAAATAGATACCTCTCCAAACAGGACATACAAATAGCTAAGAGACATATGAAGAAATGCTCAACATCACTGATCATCAGAAAGCTGCAAATTAAAACAACAATGAGGTATCACCTCACACCTGTCAGAATGGCCGCCATCAACAAATCATCAAACAACAAGTGTTGGCGAGGGTGTGGAGAAAAGGGGACTCTAGTACACTGCTGGTGGGAATGCAGACTGGTGCAGCCACTATGGAAAACAATATGGTGTTACCTCAAAATATTAAAAATTGAACTGCCATTTGACCCAGTGATCCCACTTCTAGGAATATACCCTAAGAAGCCTGAAACACCAATCAGAAAGATTATATGTACCCCCATGTTCGTAGCAGTACTATTTACAATACTTAAGATCTGGATACAGTCCAAATGTCGATCAGTAGACGAATGGATAAAAAAGCAGTGGTACATATACACAATGGAGTACTATGCAGCTATGAGAAAGAAAGATCTCTTATCCTTTGAGACGACATGGAGGGACCTGAAACAAGCCAAACAGAGAAAGACAAGTATTATATGATCTCACTTATTTGTGGAATATAATGAACCTAACAGTCTGAGGAATGGGGTAGTCCCAGAGATGTGGAAGTGGGGTATAGACTGACAAGCCCCAGAATAGGGGGTGGTGGGGGAGAGACAAACCACAGAACTTATACGCATGTATGCATGAACAATGAACATGACAACAAAGCTGGGGGCAGGGAGGGGAGGGGCGGGGAGGGGGGAATCAGTGGGGAAAAAGGAGAAACATCTGTAATAAAAATTAATTCTTTAAAAAAATAAAAAAAGCCAGTGTCTTGGTTCAGCCTTTGCTGCTAATCAGCTCAGCTCCTCCCAGCAAGTGGGAGATGGAAGCAGTTTATGGTTTCACCAGATGACAGTTGAATCATTCAACATAATTACAACCTTAAAGTCAAGTAATCTGTACAGTGAGTGCCCCAATCCAACTCTGAGGCAGACTTGCGCAGAGCGAGCTGCTCAGAGCGAGCGCAGCAGAACAAGCGCGCAGACTGGAAGCACTGTGGGGCCGGGCGCACGGAGGGCGCGCAGGGCAGCGCTGGCCAACTCCACACGTGGCACAGGCAAGGGCAAGGGCCACCGCTGACAGACAGACAGACAGCGGCCTCCAGCTGCTGGCCGAGATGAACAAATTGCGCGGCCGTTTTAGAAGAAACCAAATGTGAGCCAGGACTTGGAATGAACCAGCATCAGGGACCAAAGTGTCATCCTTTACGCTTCCTGAGGTCAGCCCCATCCCACTGCGCTGTGGACCTGAACCTGCTGGGCAGCCTGAGGGCCTGGTGAAGCTGGCAGGTGTGCTCAGCCCACAGAGGCTGTGAGTGTGGAAACTGGACGAGGAAGTGACCCAGACACTGTCAAGGCTGAGAATGTCTAGGACCTGTCATCAGAACAGCTGCACACATTTGTAGGGGTTTTTTTGCTTATTTTACCTGTTTTTTTTGTTTTACAATTCTTTTGTCAAATTATTTATTGTCTTTTATCACATTACTAGAGAGCTAATGGAAAGTCTCACTGTTACGTGAGAAGCTGGGCCGCGTGGAACACCCGGCAGAGGACCAGGCCGCGGCCCAGCACTCGCTTCCTGCACGGCACTTTGCTGCAGTTCACAGATGTTGCATTTTTACAAGCTTTTGCCAGTCAGTTCACTTGTCAGCTACACATCACTTTCTCAAGAAAGGTGGGTGGGCTGCAGCTCACCACCAGATCCACAGAGCTGAGGTCAAGGGCAGAGGGTTGACCAAGAAGTGCCATAGAATCTAACATGAAACAGTGAATAAGACCATGAACTCCGGCAGCTTGACTGTGGTCTAAAAGGCCTGCCCCATGGGTGTGGCCCAAACTACCTGAACAGAGTCACCTGCTCCCAGCGGAGCTGCTCCGGCCCTCCCTGCCCGGCCAGCTGTGTTCGTGTGGAACTGGGGTCCAGTCAGTGCGCCTCAGCTCTGAGCAGCCAGGTTCTCAGTTTCTCCCCGTGTGTGGGCCACCCTAGGCCACGGGGGCAGAGAAGCCGCTCTGCCCTTCCCGTGCCCGTCACTCCCTTGTGCGGAACCCCGTCCTGCCTCAGAACCCTCCCCTCGCCCAGGAGCATCAGCCCCCGCAGCGGCCGCCGTCCACACAGCACCACCACTACCCACTCTGCACACTGCAGCAGGAAACGGGGAACAGAGGATGGGGCTGGTCTCCAAACACCTTACCTGGGCCCGACCAACGCACTCAATGGCTCCCAAACCATCAACTGGCTGAAACCCAAACCTGCCAAGTGCTCACAGCGCTGCAATCAAATCTGTGATCCACGAGCACCCCCTGCCCTCGTCCTCGTCAGCCGACTGTCACTGGGCTCAGTCCAACCCCGTCCCGAGGCAGCCCTGCTCTGCTGCCGCAGGAAAACCCCTGGCAGATGATTCCAGAGAGAACGTCGTAATTTACGTATCTGTCCAGATCCCAAAGTTCAGACAGCTTTATAAGTTTGTGTTGTGAAAGCGATGTTGAAATAACATTTCGAAGGGAGAGCTGCCGAGAACGTAGTGCTGAAGGCTGGGCACTTAGCTGATAACACAGAAGTGTGTTCCCTGAAGGAACTCGCTGCTGGTAAGAGCTGCAAGTACCCAGACCACAAAGGCTTCCTTCTGACAATGCTCCCCTCGCTCCCCTGGGCCCCTGCAGTTCATAACAGGAAGCCTGGCTCCCCAGGGCTGCAGCCCAGCAGCGAGCAGGGCCGGCTGGGCATCCTTACCCCGACAGCCCCTGCGTCCGCCAGACCCCGTGCAGGGCAGAGAGGACGTCCCCACTCGCGGTGCTGGAACTGGCCTGGTGGAAGGACAAGAGAGCAGTTACCTTATGAGAGTCAACTCACAGACACCCTCAGTGCATGGCTCCCTACTCCCCTCATCTAGGACAGTTTCGAATGGAGGGGGTTTCTGGGGAGTCGGGACCCCGGATCTTGCTAGACCAGGAGCGCTCAGTCGCACCCACAGGCCGTGCTGAGGGCCCACACTGCTCGGCTCCGGGCTCAGCCGGCAGCTCACCACAACCACTGGTCAGGAAAACCTGAGAGCAAGGTCAGTTCCCCGGGAAGAATGGGGCACTCAGTGTGAATGGCACACCGATGAAACACACCCGCGCGGCCAACGAGCATTTAGTAAAGGGCACCGTGCTCAACGTAAACAGGGCTGGCAGTCTTAGGTTTGGCCACTCACAGAGTTCTGCCCTCATTTGTTCCGCTTTCCCACAAGGGTTCGACTCTTTACTTTTATTGTTTTAGTACAGATATACTGTATGTATGGCATCCCTGAAGTCTGTAGCTTTTTTAAAAAACAATTTTTCTTTCCAATGAGAAGTTTTAACAATCGGACAGCGGTGCTCATTCACCAGTTAAGGCCAGGCCTGTGTCCCGAGCCCCCTCCGCTGAGCCTCAGGTCGAAAGGCCACCAGCCGGTGCGAAAGCATGTGACCTGAACGCATGTGACCAGGCAGAGGCCCGGCCAGGCCCCTTGCTCACTCCACGCAGCTGAGAGTGACGCTGCCGAGCAGAGCGCCGCAGACACTGGCCGCAGCGACAGGGACGGCCCTGCCCTCGCGCTTCCTCCGCCCACGGGCGGCACGCGGCTGCCGTGCAGGACGCGTGCCCACTGCACTCACATCAGTACACACCAGCCCCGGCGCTGGCAGATGGCAGTGTCTGCAGTGTCTCCCTGACGTTATTTCACCGCTTACCTTCGCCAACATGATTCTTGTTTTGGCCACATCCAGAGGGGTGGTGACCACAGCAGCAAATCCACCTGTGCAGAGAGACCCAGCACAGGGCTGTTTACTGTACTATACGGTACTTTATCATTTTTATGTTATGATTACTCAGAACTCCACCAAAGTCACCTCTTAATCATCATGTCCACTTGAATGGTTCAAGAACAGGACACACACATGCAGAGCATCTCCCCACACACCACTGCTTTTCTAGGGAACAGCACTGTGTGGACAGGGAGCCTGACTGACTACTCAGGCGGACAGGCCCCACACCCTGTGCTCTTCTGTGGAGCAGAAAGCAGAGCTGTGTCTCCGTGGGGTGTGCGGACAGACCCCTGCTCCGGGAGAGCAGAAAGCAGAGCTGTGTCTCCGTGGGGTGTGCGGACAGACCCCTGCTCCGGGAGAGCAGAAAGCAGAGCTGTGTCTCCATGGGGTGTCTGCGGACAGACCCCTGCTCCGGGAGAGCAGAAAGCAGAGCTGTGTCTCCGTGGGGTGTGTGGACAGACCCCTGCTCCGGGAGAGCAGAAAGCAGAGCTGTGTCTCCGTGGGGTGTGCGGACAGACCCCTGCTCCGGGAGAGCAGAAAGCAGAGCTGTGTCTCCGTGGGGGTGTCTGCGGACAGACCCCTGCTCGCGGGAGAGCAGAAAGCAGAGCTGTGTCTCCGTGGGGGTGTCTGCGGACAGACCCCTGCTCGCGGGAGAGCAGATAGCAGAGCTGTGTCTCCGTGGGGGTGTCTGCGGACAGACCCCTGCTCCGGGAGAGCAGAAAGCAGAGCTGTGTCTCCGTGGGGTGTGCGGACAGACCCCTGCTCCGGGAGAGCAGAAAGCAGAGCTGTGTCTCCGTGGGGGTGTCTGCGGACAGACCCCTGCTCGCGGGAGAGCAGAAAGCAGAGCTGTGTCTCCGTGGGGTGTGCGGACAGACCCCTGCTCGCGGGAGAGCAGAAAGCAGAGCTGTGTCTCCATGGGGTGTGCGGACAGACCCCTGCTCGCGGGAGAGCAGATAGCAGAGCTGTGTCTCCGTGGGGTGTGCGGACAGACCCCTGCTCGCGGGAGAGCAGGTAGCAGAGCTGTGTCTCCGTGGGGTGTGCGGACAGACCCCTGCTCGCGGGAGAGCAGATAGCAGAGCTGTGTCTCCGTGGGGTGTGCGGACAGACCCCTGCTCGCGGGAGAGCAGATAGCAGAGCTGTGTCTCCGTGGGGTGTGCGGACAGACCCCTGCTCGCGGGAGAGCAGATAGCAGAGCTGTGTCTCCATGGGGTGTGCGGACAGACCCCTGCTCGCGGGAGAGCAGATAGCAGAGCTGTGTCTCCGTGGGGTGTGCGGACAGACCCCTGCTCGCGGGAGAGGCTGTCCCCCAGGGACTCCCAGCGGCCACTGCCCTTCTATCTGACTCCAAACGGCTTTTGTCGTTTCTGCTCGGAGGCAAACAAACGTGTATCACACTGAGAATTTTTGGTGTAAACGGCTGGATTCTTTGAGTAGAAAACGTGTGACGAGTAAAGCTTTCCCTCTCTCCAGGCTGCTCCTACCAGGCCAGGTGGAGTGGCATTTCTGAGCTCCTCCTGCGTCTGGTCAGAGCCAGGCTGGATCTAGGCATTCCTCCTCACGGCCCCCTCCTCCGTCCTGGAACCCGTGACTGCCCGAGGGCTGTCTAACAATCCACACATTGCAAAGGTCCATATCTATGGCCAGAGGAACTGGAACTTTAAAAAAACAAAACAGAAACCATAGTATATAGTGCCAATATTCTATTTAATATGATACAAACATATATTTTAAATCTCAAAAGGCCCTAAGGAGGAAGAAATAAACTCAACGGGTGTTCTGCAGACTCCGCATCCACGCTGCGTGAAGCGCGCAGTGTGAGGGCTGAGCAGGACGTGGGGGGGGCACCCCGGAAACAGCGCCACCCTCCCAGCTTCATGGCATGTGGACAAGAAAGCCATCTGATCTCTGCCAAGCATCTTTCTAAGAAAGGTCATTACATCCCTCCACCTGGTAACTTTAAGATGACGACCTTTTAAAGATGTTCCCATTTATGCTCCTATGTTCCATTTTTGGTTACCCACAAATGACACACATTTAAGGCTCAAGGATCAATAACATGAATATGAGTCTCCTTTTTTAGCCACTTTTGTGTTCCGAACATGTGAAACATTTTCCTCCAGATTCAAGATTTGCCTGACATCGAGACACTTGCTAATCTTCGAGTATTTTAAAATTGTGTGGACCCAGTCCTGATATCCTACAATTTTAATTGTTTTTAAACCACATATTCTGCAGTAAAAGAGTAAATATACTTAAAATGCAGAAAAGCGTCCAGGAAGGCTTCACATCCATTAAAAAAACCTAACGAAGGAAGAAAACAGCAATTAACCTGACCACCCAACCTCCCACTGGGTGGTTTCCTCTACAGGCTCCAGGGTCCCCCAGAAAGACCCTCCTTCAGAGCCGGGGACCCAGGCTCCCTGGCTGCTCTCCTGCTGGTGGCCTCAGGTTACCTAGGGCGACAGATGGGGAAACTGAGGCTCAGAGAGCTTGGACCATAGCTGATTTTCCTCAGTACAGAGCAGAGACTTGAACTCTTCTGACTCCAGACCCTGAGCTTTTGGCCGCTGGGTCTTCCAGGGGCCTGTTTCTCAACTATTCAGTGCAGACGACATATGACCAGGACGAAGGGAGTCTGTGCACGGTCCAGAGCGATGCCTTGCTCACGTTAGTCTCACAGTAATGAGCTCTGTTGCGTGTGCGCAGGTGTGTGGGTGTTCTTGTCTCCAGCCCAGCACACACCATAGGAACTCGAAGAGGCTTCCTGCGTGCCCAGGACAAGTCTGCAGCTCTTACAAACTGGAGATTTCAACCTGTCCTCTGAGGGGGGAAGGGCGCATCTGAGCTCGCTTTGCCTGGAACCCTGGGACTGCACGAGGCTTTCCCAGATCATCGGATCCCATTTGCATTTTACAGACAGCTTGCTCAGGGCACAGACGGCCTCAGCCCTGTTATCTTAGTTCTTTCACGACACAATGACTCAGATATAAGACATTAAAATTTAGCCGAGCCCTGGCCGGTTTGGCTCAGCGGTTGGAGCATCGGCCTGCGGTCCTGAGAGACCCGGGTTCGGTTCCCGCTAAGGGCGCGTACCTCGGTTGCAGTTTGTCCCCGGCCCTGGTCAGTTGTGCGGGTGGCGGCCACTCAATGTGTTCCTTTCATGTCGATGTTTCTCTCTCTCTCTCTCTCTCTCTCTCTCTCTCTCTCTCTCTCGGTTCCTCTCTCTCCCTCCCACTCTACCTGAACAAAAAAAATGGAAAAATGTCCTCGGGTGAGGATAAAAAAAAAAAAAATTTATCCGACTGTTAAGTGCGTCTACCATTTTTCTTGTTTAAAAATGTTCACAAACTGTCCTCAACCAATTAAGATGACTTAAAAGTTGGCAAGGACATCTGTCCTGTCTGACCACTCGAGCTTTTATGGGTTCCCTATGTTGAAAAGTATTTGCCTTCTGATAAATTTAGATACTGCAGGTCAACCTTGTTTTGGCCATTAGCAAAGCCCCCACCCCCAGCTCCTTCACTTGGGTGCCTCCTGGTGTTTTCTTACAGACGGACTGCCGTTTCATCAGCGTGCTATGAAGAGACATTAAAGACAAAACACATATCTTAAATAGCTCTTAATTTTGCTACCATGAGGGAAACTGTATTTTATGAAAGTTACTAATAAATCAATTTGAATATCTTCAAATACCAAAGATTGCCCTAATTTACAGACTTCACAAGTTTTTATGAGGCTGCAGGGAGGACTTGTGAAGGCCACGTGACAGAAGACCGGTCACGGTGGGGAGGGGCAGGGGCCAGCCCTTGCAGTTGAAATGTGTCCTTCTCTACACTGAGCCTGAGGGAACTGGGCACGAGCACGCAGCAGGGAGCAGTGTTCGCTCTCTGAGCCGCGCCGCACGTTAGAACTGCTGCTTCCAGGAGCAGATTCAGGGGCACCAGATGTCAGACATGTTATTGCTGAGCTCTCCAGACCAAGGAGCCACCTTCCTACGGAAGGTCTGGAGCCCTCCCCCAGCAGCAGGTGGAGGTGAGGCCGCAGTGGGCAGCACTGCCCGCGTGGTCCATGCAGGGCCCCTCCCCTGACAGCCTGGGCAGAGGAGGTCTGCTGCATAATCTCCAAACAGTGTCCCCCCAGGCTGGGCTTCAATAGCCACAAATGTGTTTTTGTTTTAAAGACTATGTTGGGCCTTCTCATCTGTACTCAGATAACCCTCACCCTATTCTAGAATGTCAAGCCAGGGGAAGCTGTCTATATCTGTATCTCTGTCACTCTCCTCTCTCTGAGAATGAAATAGGTGTTAATTACAAGAAACTGATCAAACAACACCACAATAACAATCCTCACACTAGTAGCAACTGTCATAATTACTTAGCCTGCATTACGATTTTATGTTTAAGACGTTAACTTGAAGTGAGGAAGTTGGCAAAGTGTTTTTCGTCCTAGTCTAACCCCTGACCAGAGGCCAAGGGAACTGCTGAGCATGCCAAGCCATCAACACCTCCAACCTCAAGGGCCGTTTCTGGACATCTGTGCCAAGTAGTTTATAAAATAAGCACGGGCACAAGAGTGCCAAGGATGGCCAAATGTGGTTCGCGCGCAGGAACACGACACCCACGCCCGCTGCGAGGGCTCGCTTCACTGCTGCCCACGGCCACGCGAGGCCGTGCAGTGGGAAGGGCGGCGGCGGGCGTGCCCTGTCTTCAGGGGCTGCCCGAGATGGCGAGTCACCGTTCACTTCTCGGCAGTGTGTGGGGCACAGCGCTGAAGAAACTCTTACAGAGATCACTTTTCACAGTCCAGAGTATTTCAGATGATGTTTATCTTTCAGGATGGTTTTAAAGTAGTAACCCAATTCCTCAGGATCAGCCCTGTACCGACTATAATTTCAGAACAAAAGGGATATAAACAAGAAAAGTTTTTAATCTTTTGCTAAATTATGTAGATCTCCTGACAATGGATTTTTTTCAGACCTTGGATATACTTCCTCACATATCAGAACCTCAGCTCTCAGCTGAAAAATAAGATGATTGTATTAGAGGAGATGACTGTGAGGATAACTTTATTAATACTATTCTTTCGATGCAATTGAAAATTATTGTGCTGATACTAGTTTTTCATTTTCTGAGTACTGGTTGTTTTATTGAAACAGTAATAATTCCTTATATCTGTTCGCTTTTATCAATTACAAAGCACTAATATATACTAGAGGACTGTACCCCTTTAGGTAGGAGGACTGCATGCACATCGCTGGTAAGGAATCTGGGGCCCAGGAAGGCCCCACACCGCATTCCTTAGTTAGGGGCAGAACGGAGACTGGAGACTCAGGGACTCAACAACTTCTGTAAGTCCAACCAGGTGGCCTGCAGGGACCTGTGGCTCTGAGCCACACCCTCCCCTGCTCACATCCCAGCTGAGTGAGCCTCTTATGCCAAGGGCCTAGCCCACAGATCTCATAAAAAGTGTCTTTCCCCTTTTGTGCTAATCTAAGTGCTCAGTGCCTATTACAAAGCAGTAATCAGAAAAAGGAACTGTGATGAATGCATATTTCCTTAACAGAAGCATTGCATTTCTAAGCAAATCTTTGAATTAGCTGCTTAAGGGGTGTGGCCAGATAATATATACTTCCTATTTCAACATATGGAGGTTTTATGGTTTTGCTAACTTTAAAAAGAGGCCTTTCGTTATCCAGGACAGCCGAATTTCCTTAATGCTCCCTTTGTCCCCAGGGCCCCAGAGGGAGTTAACTGCACTGCACATTTCCCCCGCAGGGGCTGGGAACAGACACCTGCCCTCTGAAAATGAATCAGGACCACCTACTCATTTAACATAGCTAATGACTGTGTCATGTGGAAACAATTACCCGGCATAATCAATGTGAGCTGCCTTCATGTCTACAGGCTGCATCCTTATTTTTGATGAGCAATTCTACAAGTCAAGTGGGCTTAATTATTAATAAAGCATTCTATAAAATGTATGTTTTCTGTTTTCCTAATCACTACAACAAAACACCCAATCCAACAACCATTAAACAAACTGGAAAAATAATTATTTTCTAATAAAGTTGGCTTCTAAACTTACACAGCTATCCGCTTATGGCTTCACATCTAAACTAGCAATTCACAGCTTCCTGGCAAATTTCCACTTTGATCTATTTCAGCTATACATCTGATTTACCTTTACTTGCAACGACAGCATCTCTTTCTCTCTTAGACGGCTAACCTGTCACTCACTGACTTCCACGGAGCGTCCGTTCTCAGTGGAGCCTCCCTAGAACACTCGCGTGACTTAGTGATGGATGACACAGTGCTGCACACTGTCACTGTGCTCTTAGTTTAATGTCTAGAAAATGCCCAGATGTTTCGGTCTCCCTGTTTCCACACAGAGCAGTTGAGCGTCAGTAACCTGTGGAGCGGCCTCCACTCTCCTGACACCAGTTAATCCGCGGGACTGTCAGACCTGTCACTCAGACCATGAATCACTGCTGCAGGGTCCGCTGACCCCAGCACGGCGCAGGGCAGACAGCCGCGCGGGCAGCCCCGCACCCACCGCACGTCTCTCCCACATAGGACTTTACAAATCATCTTCAAGATGATCCCAGGGCCTGAGTGAAGGCTTTAATAAAGATAAAAGGAAAAGAAAAATTTGTCAAAAACAAATTGGCTGTCTTTCAAGCAGACACCTTCGTAGGTTTTCTTTTGCCTAAGACTTTTTTCTCAAACAACTAGTGGACTCTCTTCATCTAAACAATCTGGAATGTCTAAAGAATGTTGTTTTGCATAGTTAATATTTTCACATTTCCCCCTTTGGTCTTTCCCAGTAGAATATAATCCTCTGCACCTGCAAACGCTCCGCAGACTGCTGACTGCCAAGGATCCACCACACGATCTTGCCTCCAGGACCAGAGGGCCTGTGTTTCAGGAGAAAGGAAAATACAAGTTATTAAAATTTGAATTTATCGCAACCTCCTGTGGATGAGCTCTAGGGATGGGAACTTAAGTGAGAAGCTATTTTGGTGGCATTCCTCACTGATGACATAAGTGACTTTCCCAAGGACGTGGCTGCATTCTAAAGTAAGAGGAACGGGTGACAGCCACACTGGTGTGTGCGAGGAGACAGTGTCCAGGGAGAGTGTGTGACATACAAACACACATACACACATTGTGCACATGTGTATAAGTAAAAATAAAGACGTATCCTTAAGACAATATCACATTGTAAATATTTCCCATATAATTCTGAACATATAAATTCCGTTAATTCACAAATCAGTCCAAAGCAGCGTATGCCAAAATTCTTCAGTTCTTTTTTCAATCTTTATCCATGTTGCATGTTTGAAGGATGCTGATTCTGCTACTTATTTAAAATTTGTCAAAAATTGTTTGTATTGTTCATGACGTCGAAGACAATTAAATGCCCATGCCGAGTTTGAAACTAGGCAAAATGGTGACCAAGGCGGGGTGCCTTGCTCATTCAGCACTGACGGTCTAGTAGAAGACAAGATGCAGCCACATCCCACGGTGAGCAGTGCTGAGCCAGGCCTGCTCGAATCCCTGAACACGGAGCAGAGCCCCCGGCCCTCACCGCACCCCTGAGCTGGGCCCTGCGATTAGCCACCTTGTACCAGGGCTTTCTAACAGCAGAGCTGCTCCCTCTCAGCTTTGCTGAGGCAGAAGTGATGTCCAATAGACTGCACGTTCAAAGGGTGCCACCTCACCCTGGCCGGGTTGGCTCAGTGATCAGAGCGTCGGCCTGCAGTCCAGAGAGACCCGGGTTCGGTTCCGGCTAAGGCCACATACACATGGGTTGCAGTTTGTCCCTGGCCCTGGTTGGGTTGTGTGGGTGGCAGCCACTCAACATGTCCCTCTCACGTCGATGTTTCTCTCTCTCTCTCTCTCTCTCTCTCTCTCTCTCTCTCTCTCTCTTCCTCTCTCTCCCTCCTACTCTAGCTGAACAAAAAATGGAAAAATGTCCTCGGGTGAGGATAAAAAAAATTAATTAATTAAAAAATAAAGTATGCCACTTGCTACGTTCTGACAACCACATGTGAAATGATTGCCACAATTAAGACAGCACCCTGTTCATCACCCAAAAGTTTTCTGTGTCCCTGCCCTTCCTTGCCAGCTGAAACAATCTGATCTTTCTATTACTCTAGATTAATTTGCTTTATCTACAACTTTATATAAACAAATTATACATTTACCTTTAAAATCTGGATTCTTTCCTTCAGAATTTTTGTGTGAGTCATCCATGTTATTGTGGATATCAACAGTTCATTCCCTTTTAATTAGTAACAGTCCATGGTACAGATATGTCTTTTATGTATTCACCTACTGATGAACACCTATGGGATTTTCCCAGTGTTTTGCTATTACAAATAAAGCTGCTATGGACATTTATATACATGCCTTTTTATGGACACGTGCCTTCATTTCTCTGTGGAAATACCTAAGTGTGAAATAGCTGGATCACATGGTAGGCATGTTTAACTTTTTAAGAAAGTACCAAACTGATTTCCAAAGTGGCTGTACCATTTTACATTCTAACCAGTTTCAGTTTCTCTGCATCCTTCCAAATGCTTGGTTGACATTGTTAGTATTTTTAAATTTTTATTATTCTAATAGGTGTGTAGTATTTCACTGTGCTTTTAATTTTTATTTCTTTAATGACTAATGATGCTGAGGTTTTTTTCATGTACTTTTTTCCCATCCACATATTTCTTAAGTATCTGTTCACATGTTTTGCACATTTTTATTGGGTTGCCTGTTTCCTTAATCATTGAGTTTTGAGTAGGTAAACGTGGTACTCGCCTCCTCCAACAACCACATCAAAATTACAACTAAACTACAGAACAACCATCATTCAGAACCACCTGAAATCGAGCTGAATGGAAGTCCTACAACTAGGAAATTAAAGAAGCCACATGGAGACTGGTAGGAGGGCCGGAGGCCTGGATGGGCTGGTCCCACACCCACGTGTGGCGGATAAAAATCAGGAGGACACCTCGGCTGGGAAGGTCCTCCCTGAGGACTGAGGGGTCCCCGTCCCACACCAGGCGCCCCCCTCAGGGTTCCAGTGCCAGGCAGAGGATCCCCATCACTTCTGGCTGGAAAAACCAGCAGGAACTGAGGCTCAGGGAGGCTGAGGCTGCTGGAGCTGCAAGCAGTTCCTCTTAAAGGGCCCGTGCATGGGCTTAGTGGCTCGCTCCCTCCAGGCTGCAGTGCTGGGGAGGCAGCTTGAGAGGCATCAGAGACATATGGAGAAGAACTGAGTTGATTGGCACTGGAGCGAGGGCTGGAGAGGCAGCTTTCTCCTGGACAGACGTGCTGATGGAGACCATTGTTGCTTTGGTGAGCCCTTCCCTGGGGCGGCAGACAGCTGCCATATCTGGGACTCCAGCAACCTGGCTCACACTGGTAGCCCTGCCCTGGTGACTCCCTGAGGCCCCGCCCCAAACAACGTTCGGGCCCACCCCAGCTGTTTCCAGTGGCTTTACCATAGGATTGACCTGTCTTGGCTCCTCCTTCAGATTTTCCTAAATGCTCTCAAACAAGCAGCATGTGGTCTCAGCAAGTCCCATACCTCTCAATAAGTGGCCCCAGGCCTGGCACTAGGAGCAGCCAGTGTTGATACATGGCTTAGCTTTGTCTGGGCACCTCCAAGCCCAGCACAAGCAGCAGCCAACTGCAGATCACTTTGTAGCTTATGCCTGGTGGCCGCAGATAGAACACAGGCAGTGGCTGTCCTTGCCCCAGAGCCAGCACACCCAGTGGACAGCCAAGGACCATGTCGAAGCACCACCACCCAACCACCTCCACAAGTGACACACTCAAGGAATGGACTCAGTGGATACCAGAGCCCTGCTGAAGTAAGTCTCGCTCTGTGTGGTGGGCCCTGCACAGCTGATCCTCCAAGGTCAGTGGTCAGTGCGCACAGCCAGTCCTTGCAGCTATCAGCCTGAGTTTAAATTTCTCTCAATGACGTGCCAACAGCAATCAAGACTCAATTACAACAGTCCAAACAAGAGGTGCACCTCAAGGGCCCAAGCTGGGGTGACCAGGGAGGCTGTGCCACTGGACCCTCCCGGACACCTACTACAGTAGGCCACCCTAGGAAGCCTAGGAGACATAGCAGCTCTACCTAATACATAGAAACTAGCACAGGGAGGCAGCCAAAATGAGACAAACATGTCCCAATGAAAGAACAGAACAAAACTCCAGAAAAAGAACTAAATGAAGCAGACATAAGCAATCTAACAGATGCCAAGTTCAAAACACTGGTTATAAGGATGCTCAAGGAACTTAGGACCTCAAGAGCATAAAAAAGGACCAGTCAGAAATGAAGAATGTACTAACTGAAATAAAGAATAATTTACAGGGAATCAATAGTACAGTAGAAAAACCCAAGAAGCAACCCATCGATTTGGAATATAAGGAAACAAAAAACACCCAATAAGAACAGCAAAAAGAAAAAAGAATCCAAAAAAACAAGGATATTGCAAGGAGCCTCTGGGACAACTTCATGCATACCAACATTGGCATCATGGGGGTGACAGAAAGAGGAGAGAGAGAGTAAGAAATTGAAAACCTATTTGAAAAAAATAATGACAGAAAACTTCCCTAACTTGGTGAAGGACACAAACATGCAAGTTCAGGAAGCACAGAGTCCCAAACAAAATGAACCCAAAGAGGCCCACACCCAGACACATCATCATAATGCAAAAGGTTAAAGTTAAAGAAAGAACCTTAAAAGCAGCAAGAGGAAAGCAGTTAGTTACCTACAAGGGAGCTTCCACATGACCGTCAGTTGATTTCTCAAAAGAAACTTCACAGGCCAGAAGGGAGTGGCAAGAAATACTCAGTGATGAAAAGCAAGGGCCTACAACCAAGATCACTCTATCCTGCGAAGTTATCATTTAGAATCGATGGACACCTAAAAAGTTTCCTAGAAAAGAAATAGCTACAGGAGTTCATCACCATCAAACCAGTAGTATATGAAAAGTTGAAGGGTTTCCTTGAAGAAGATCAAAAATATGAATAAAATGGCAATAAATCCATATCCATCAACAACTGAATCTACAAACAAAATGAACAAGCCAAACATAAACAGACTCATAGATACAAAGAAATTTTTGTTGGTTGCCATTCAGAAGGGGGGAGGGGGGGGGCAAAGGAATGGGCCAAAAAGGTGAAGGAATTAAGAAGTACAATTTGGTTGTTAGACTAATGAACCTCAAAGGGAAGGGGTAGGGGGTTGGGAAGAGATAAACCAGAAAACTTATATGCATACATGCATAACCAACAGACACAGACAATAGTGTGGGAGAGGCAGGAGGGGGGCAGGAGCAGGAGGGGATCAATGTGGGAAAAAGAGGGGACATCTGTTATACATTCAACAATAAAGATGATTTAAATAAATAAAAAATATTGAGTTTTGAGAGTTCTTTACATATTCTAGACAAAAGTCACTTGCAAATATTTTTTCACATCTGTGGCTTGTCTTTTCATCCTCTTAACAGTTGTCTATCGAAGAACAAAAGTATTTAATTTTGATGAAGTCCAAATTATCCTTTTACCGATCTTGCTAATGGAGACATGTCCAAGAAATCTTTGCCTAATACAGGCCACAAAGATGTTTCACATGTTTTCCTCTAGAAATGTTATGTCTTTAGGTTTTACATTTAGATCTATCATACATTTTCAGTTAATTTCTTCTGTATGCTACAAGTTCTTTTGTTTTGTTTTTACATATGGGTATTTAATTGTTCCAGTAACTGGAAAAGACTATCCTTTCTCCAATGAACTACCTTCTTACTTTTGTCAAAAACCAATTGTCCATGTATGTGTGGGTCTATTTCTGGACTCTCTATTCTGCTTTAATCCACATATCCATCCTGATACCAATGTGATA